CTTAAACAGAATATCATTGGCTACAATTGAAAGAAAGATTTGTATCAGACCAGATATCCGGACATGTCTCATGGCGAATTTTTGTTTGGGGCGAATTTTTCCGTGGTCACCTGTAATCATCGGGATAAAAAAATAAGCAAATCTACCATCTTGGTGGAATCGTATTGTATTACTTCCTCTCGTTGGTAATAATTGCAACAGTATCCCTAATCAAGAACGTAGTTTTTCCTACAGACTCGCTTTAGAAGCGCTGATTGGCGGATTCGTCGCGGTGTGATCTCCTCTTTCCAACGCTGGTTTACGCACGAAAAACACTGCTCAGACGCCAGAGTTATCGACGGAAATGTACCGCAGGCAGCATGCCATTTCACAATTTGCAGCATCTTTAACACCAGACACTCCCCATTTCCTAGCCGCATGACCAACGCAGCCGACTCAACTGGGGCTACTTTGAGGCCAAATCTAACGAACTGAGAACGCCAGGATGTCGTCCTCTTCATCCTCATGCACAGCGTGCGGGGGAAACCTGACTGGGGTTGCTTGACCGTGCATCTGACCATTTTGGCGTCGACAAGAGCACAATCAGCCGTGTTTGGTCACGGTTTCAAAAAGAAAGAGAAGCATCGGGAATTTCGGGAGTGCATAGCAGAAAGAAAGGGGTGTGTGGCCGAAAGAAGAAGGACCGCTCCGCATTGCTGGAGCAGATAGCCGACGTCCCTTTCAGACGCCGCATGGCCCAAGACAGTTTAGCAAAAGAGGTGGGTGTGTCTCGCTCGGTGATCTTCGATCTGTTGTTCCTCTCCAAACCGATCTGGAGAGCATATCATCTTAAAGGTGTGGATAGTACAATGTTGCACTTATTTCGTCCCGGAGGAAGTATGTACGACAGGATATCACGATACACACGCTCATTTCAGACAGTTCAATTTTCATGAATAGTGACCTGTCACTCATGTAAATAATACGGGGTATTGATACCTAGAGGATATCACTCAACAAAATTTACGTAAACATTTCTTGGCTACATGATGTGAGGTGGTTGATCACTTGTCGACGTAGATACTTAATGTCGGTGGCGCTCGCAGATTCCCCAGCTACGTTGGCTGTGGCGCTCTGCGCGCTGGCGCTTGCCCCGACAGCCATGTCGCTCGTCGTGGCAGCACACTACAAGCTCACTGCCGAGACACCCAGGCTCGTGTACAAGTCCACAGCCAAGAACGAGCATTTACTAAACCAGTGCGAACATCTCGTCAGGAAGAAATTCTATCCGCTGTGGTATCTCTGCAACGGCCACTTGCAGACTCTGCAGTTGTCGTGGGCCAACGAGATGGAGCCCACACCTGCCATCCCCTACGAACGGCAGCTTCTGGATATGCCCGACAGCGGCGTGGTGTCGTTAGATTGGGCATTGTTATCATCAAGCGAACAGGACAACCAGGCCGCGCTGGATCGGCGTATCGACCCTAACAAGAAAACTGCACTAGTTCTACCAGGCTTAACCGGCGGCAGCGGCGAACATTACATTCGCACTGCTGTTGAAAGGCTGAATAGTCTGGGCTGGCAGTGTGTGGTCCTCAACTCGCGTGGGTGTCAGGACACTCCGCTCCGAACGCCTCACCTATTCTGTATTGCGTACACTGGTGACCTCCGCTTTGTGGCGCAATACCTTACAGACAAGTTCAATTTCGAAGCGTTAATCGGATTGGGATTCTCGATGGGATCGAATGTGCTGGTGAAATATCTGGGTGAGGATGGTAATCAGGCTCGATTAACCGCAGGGATCTCGGTTGGAAACCCTTTCGACATGGTTAAGTGCTCCAAGAACATTGAGGGACCTCTAATCAATCGACTCACGTACAGTCGAGTATTGAGTGCAGGGCTGAGCGATCTCTTCTTTAACCGTAGCAACGCTCACGAGGTATTTCGCGATTTTCCGGGCCTCGATCTGGAGGCATTAAGAAATGTTAAGAAGGTGTCGGAGTTTGATGAGCTGTTCACGATCAAGCACTTCAACTATAAGAGCGTGGACGAGTTCTATCAGGACGGATCGTGTATTACTCGGTTGGCCAAGGTTACGGTGCCATTGCTGTGTCTGAATGCTGAAGACGACCCCATTAGCGTGGCTACCTCATTGCCGACGAAAGAGATGGTGGAGGCCAATGAAAACATCATTTTGTGCACTACGAAGAGCGGTGGCCACCTCGCCTTCTACGAAGGAGATTATGATGACGACAACGCTGTCATGAAGCAGAAACTCAATCGAAAACTACGCCCATGGTCCGTCAAAGTCATCGGCGAGTTCGCCCAGAGCGTTCTGCTAGTGCAATAGACCTGCTATCAACACTGCGGTGTTAGCAGTTTTGATTTGCAATTTTCCCCGTCGTAATTATGCCTCAATAATTGTGAAAAATATAAAACAATTATTGAATGACGAGCTTAAAGATGAAATACCAAATTAACAAATTATATCAGCCAATCATATCGCATCATTACCTCCCATATTTCAAGCCCATTATCGTGCGGCGGCCACTCAAAGTCTCTTACCGAAGGTGCGTCAGCATGGCATCTACGTCGTTCTCGTCTTCCACTAGAAGGGCTCTGTTGTTCTCACCACCTAATGCATCTATAAACCCCACATATTGTTTTCCTATCCACGTAGGTTTCATCTCCATCCGTTCTTTCCTCAGCGAGTTATACAAGTTCCAAAATGTCCGTCGCAGTCAAGGGTGTGGTTCGTCTTCGTGTGCTGGCGGGCAAGGCGAGTCCGTCGCCGGCTATTGGTCAGGCGCTAGGTCCTCTGGGTGTCAACATGATGGAGTTCTGCAAGGCCTTCAACGACCGCACGTCCAAGATGACGGAGAACATCCCGGTGCCTGTTGTGCTCACGGCCTTCACCGACCGCACGTTCAACTTCACCACCAAGACGCCACCGGCCTCGTGGTTCCTCAAGAAGGCAGCAGGCATCACGTCCGGCTCATCCACTCCGGGTCAGCAGGTCGTGGGCACGGTGCATCTGCGCCAGATCTACGAGATCGCCAAGGTCAAGCAGCAGGACGAGATGGTGGACTACATCGACCTCAAGTCCATCTGCAAGACGCTCATCGGCTCGGCCAAGTCCATGGGACTCGATGTCGTGCCGTAAATACGATTCCTTGCAATGGTGAGGGTCGACAGCTAGAAAAAAACGCTCGACAATCGTCACGCATTTTGCCATTTTTATTCGTTAAAATGCTGATTTACACTCGTCGAATGTGTGCTGTAGCTGTCCACTACTGCCGCTCTGTCTTACTTAAACTATTGATGCAACCACACACAGCTCCGTTGTATGGCATGCTCAATTAAACATGACAATATCCGCTTGATGGTGCGTACTGGGGAGCCTCGATCTCTGCAGAAGCAGGTGAATGAAGTGGAGCAATGCAACTACCGGATGGTTGAAGCTCCTTGGTCTTGAATACATATCCGTTCTGGAAGGTTATTCTCCCAGCTCCATTTTGATGTCGCTGTCCCGGAAGACCGACGTGCGTCTTGACCCAATAATGTCGCTGCCCATGTAACTAAAGTCGTCAAAGTGCATCGCCATAATCCCCGATCCAGTCGAAGATCCCAGCACACTGACAACCGGAGAATCCGCTACTTCCTGCTGCTTGAAGATGTTCGGAACATACTGCAAGTTCGCATTCAGTGCTGCACTGCTAGTACGCGCTCGACTGCCGTGGACATCTTTCGTCACCGGTCTGAACGGAGGCTCCACACGACGACTATGCAGCGCGTCCCAGTCAACACCTTCGAACCACGGGTGCCTCATAATCTCCAGCGCGCCGTCAGCGCCGCAACCCATTCGTTGTCGCGGGTTCTTAACTAACAACCGCTGCAGAAAATCGGTAGCAGTAGGCGAGAAGTGCTCCGGAGGGTACGTGGGCTCTTTACTCAAGATATTCTGGAACATTTGACGTCGATTCTTGTCCCAGAACGGCGTGTGTCCTTGAATCATCTCGTACACCAACACACCGTAACTCCACCAGTCGATAGTGTTGCCATACGACGTCGCTGTCCTCTGACTACACAGCAGTTCAGGCGCCAGATACTCCGGAGTGCCGACAAATGTTGAGCCTTCATCGTCTTCTTTAGACAAGCCGAAATCCGTGATAGCGACGTGTCCGTCACTGTCCATGAGGATATTCTCCAGCTTCAGGTCGCGATACATGATGTGCATATTGTGTAAATGCGCCAGCGACAACACCAGCTCCGCCGCGTAGAAACACGCTCTTTGTTCACTAAATCGCTTCTCCTTCCTCAAGTGCACAAACAACGAGCCACCGGAGTAATAATCCATCACCAAGTACAGCTTCTGATGGTTCTGGAACGCATACCGCAGTCGCACTACAAACGGATGCTCCACGTGCTTGAGAATCCGCTGCTCTGACTTGGTGTGTTCCACTTGTTTCTTCTTGAACACGTCTTGTTTGCGTAGTACTTTCATCGCATACACGCGTCCTGCATTCTTCCCATGCTTCTTTTTAGCCAGGAAGACCTTGCCGTACGCGCCTTTACCGACTACTGACAACAAGTCGAAGTCGTTGACGCTCATGGACGTAGAAATCACCATACTACGGCGAGAACTGCGTGTGCTATTACTGCGACTTCCAAGGTGATTGCCGACTTCTTCTTCAACGTGGAACTCAGCGTCCTCCATGTGTTCTTGTTGGTGTGGCACGGACGACATGGCTGCTGCTCCAGCGTACGCGTACTGGGATAGTCTGCTCATCTCGTCCATAAGCTCGTCCTCAGCCGGTTCGTCCGGCATGGAGCCTCGTGCACTGTCGAAAAAGGCGAAGACAGTGTCCATACTTGCAGCGATAGTCCACGCTGTATTGGAGGACTTTTGCTCGGCTGGAGACGTGGGTTCTCCAGCTGACAAACTCAGACAGCCAAGCTGCGTACAGTCTTGTAACTGTGTACCTGGACTCTCCTTGGATCGCTGCCAATTGATGGCTCTGGTGCCCAGTAACCCCCTCACTTCTTGTGTATCATCAGCCTCAACGCGATGACTGGACTCGATGAAGGCGATAGCTGCCAGTTTAGAGCGTAAGAGTGGCTGTGTGCACACTAAATGTTTGGTTAAGGAGCCTCCACGTCCATACGCGGCGATGTAGACTTGAGAGCACGACGCTCGAACGCCGTAGGTCTCCCATACATAGCGGACGTGCAGTTCAGGTGTACTGGAGTACGGAATAGGGATCTTCTCGCTGCCCACGCTTACCGTATTGGTACTGGGGTTCATAACCACCACGCCGTAACCTTTAGACAACGCTGTGTGCAAATACGGCAGCATGGAGCCCGAGCGGTACTGATTCGGGTTCTCTGTGGCCTCCAGAACGAGTGAACGGCTCCAAATACCGGGCTGGATACCGTTGCCACTCACAATTACGAGCAGTAAACGACGACAGATGTGCCAGTTCGCACTCATAAAGATGCTGCAACGTGCGGCGCTGTCGGGTGACGGGATGCACGTCTCCACGAAGCCCAATTGGACCATTTTCTGCTGCTCTTCTAGCACGATCTGGTGCAGTAGCGCCTCCATCTTGCCGCGTTCGTCGTCGCGTGGGTGCTGTAGCGATGGAGAGAGCGGTTAGTGAAGCCCAAGCCTGTAATGTGTAGCCATTATACAGCGCCTTACCATGTTGAGCTTTTGAATCTGCGCGAAGTGTCTGACACTAAAAACGGGAGAAAGGATTTGCGTCGGCTTCTCGGGGCGTCAGCTCTGCCGACGCCTTCATGCTGGAAAAACAGCTGAAATGCGAAAGACTTGAGTTCAGTATGGACAACGTGATGATATAAGAGTGACATCTCCCGCGAAACAATGACATGGGTGGATAAAGTTGAACCTGTCAAACTGGGCAAATTGTTCAAGCGACCTTCGTGCGACAGTTAATTATGTACGCCACATATCAAGTTGAAGTGAGTGAAGCGAGGAAAGTCTCGGTGTTTGAAGCATTTCAATCTGGTCAAGCGAAGCAGATTTCCGTCCATGATGGAGAAATTGGACTGCAATTGCGTAGCGTTTTGCTCTGGAAATAGTCGTCACTGTGAAATTTCCATCGTGGTCGCAACACCGTCGTAGTCCAGACGAATTCGAGATGTCGAGTTGTACTCGACTGCTGCTGGTTGCTGCGTTATTGTTCGCTGATGCCTCCAGCCAATTTATGACTGGTCCGGCGTTCTTCGGTAATCCTCAGTCAATGCAGGCAGCGGTGATATCTCCTGTGATGTCGTCGAACTCGAACTCATCGTCAGCTTCCTCTCCATCCGGATCGTTGCAAGGCTCGAAAACGTCGTCCAACGACGACTCCAGTAGCAGCAGTGGTGAGTCCAGCGTCGACGGCTCGGAGGGCTCTGCAAGTGAGGGAAGTGGAGACGAAAGCGGCAGCTGGAGCTGGAGTATGGACTCGGAATCCGGCAGTTCGAGCATGGAGTACGGGTGTGACTGTCGCTCAGTTCGTCGAGTCTCGCTCATGGGGGCCTCGGACTACTGCCTTGATCCAAATGCCTCACTCAGTAGCAAGTGCGGTAATGTTCAATTGGCAGAAAGTGGAGCTTGTCCCATCACTGGAGCGCAGCCGTGTTCACCCAAGGGCCACGTCCTGGCGAATGACTCACTGTGTGCGCTGGACGACAAGGACGAGACGTACAAGTGCGTGGCCAGCAAGCACGACTTGGACATTCAGAAGCACGGCAAGAAGAAGAAAAAGAAAAACAACCGCCGCCATGGGTCAGATTCGTCAACGAGCATGGCTCCGTCGCTATCGGCTCGTCAAGTGGTAGCCATTGTGGTCTGTGTCGCAGCTGGAGTTATGGTGGTAGTGTAGTGGCACTACAACTGCAGTGTTGTCACAACTACGAAGTATATCTCGGCCTGAACGTATTAAACAGCATGTTTGAATACAGGAGAGTTGTTAGCTATCTAGTCCTGCGTTCTTAACACACCGTAGTGTCTTAACTGTCCCTCTTAAGGTCGTCCGGTGGAAGTACAAAGTTGCTGAGACGCAGCCATTTATAAGAGGAGAAATAGTCCTGAGTCAGCAGCATCAATGGAGCCATCACACATCCCTGTGCGATGATCAGTCCGACAAGGTTCTCCGCTGTCGTGTGGAAGTACGACGCCGTGAAGAACAGCAGATACGACGCCATTCCGCAGACGATGATCAGCCATGCGCGCAGCAGCGTCCGCTTCAGACTCGGTCCAGCACTCTCGACACTAACCGCAAACCACTCGAACAATGGGATTGCCAAGTAGTGACTCACTAGTAGTACGATGTGGTCTGAATGGTCAAAGTCAGCGGGACAGCGCTTGCCGCGACGCAGCTCAGCGTACCAGCAGGAATGGTCCGAGTGACCCATAAAGAGGTGAATCAACCGCTTTTCCACCAATCCTAGTCCCATGTATAGAACTACCGTACGGAACGCCATTATCGCCACATACAGAAGACCACGACGCACGTAAACGCGGACGCGAGGCATCGTCACGTTAGGACCCAGCATCATGGAGCCGTAGTTGAAGACTAGAGCGGACAATGGGATCGCCCACGATCCCTGCAACAGCAAATAACAGTTATGTGGTCAGTTGAGTAAAATCGCTTGGTGTTCACTATGACGCACTTTAAAGGAGGCCATCACGGGCATAAGGTCCATGCCAGTGTAGCACGGAGCGTCTTTGTAGCCTCCTGCCTCATTATTGCAGCAAATGGCCTCGGAATTCTCTGGGGAGTCCACATGCAGCCAATTCGAGTCACAACTGTTGCAAAAGTATCCATAACAGCAATCTAACGTTAAGTAACTTAACCCAGGTGCCAACAGTCTGTTACGTACTCTCCGATGATACGCACAAACTTGTGCGGGAAGCGGCGCGACGTGTAGAACACCACGAGCAGTAGCAGCGCATTAGCCACGAGGAACGAACCCCGCGCTCGAATCTTGTGCAGCGTCAGCAGCGCCTGCTGCGACGCCGAGAGCTTCTTGGGCACCGTTGGCCTGCCCCCCAGCATGATGATTCTCTAACGACGGGGTTGGTCAAAAACCGTCCGACAGTGTGGTACACATAAAGGCAACAAACCAATAAGAGATCCGACAGTTAGGTTGAAGTACTTTTTAGCGTGTCAGAGCTCTCTCTTCATTCTACATTTTGTCTCGACAAACACAAGTGGCTTAGGAGAGAATAATGGACGATGATATCCAGGCTGTAGTGATTGACAATGGATCGGGTATGTGCAAGGCGGGGTTCGCTGGGGATGACGCCCCGCGTGCTGTTTTCCCGTCCATTGTGGGAATGCCGAAGCATTTGGGTATTATGGTTGGCATGAACCAGAAAGACGCTTACATTGGGGATGAAGCGCAAGCGAAACGTGGGGTTTTAACGCTGAGATACCCAATTGAACATGGGATCGTGACGAACTGGAACGACATGGAGAAGATCTGGAGTCACACGTTCTACAACGAGCTGCGAGTAGCCCCAGAGGAGCATCCAGTGCTGCTAACGGAGGCCCCACTCAACCCCAAAGCCAATCGAGAGCGCATGACGCAGATCATGTTTGAGACGTTTAGTGTACCAGCGATGTATGTGAACATCCAGGCGGTGCTGTCGCTGTATGCCTCTGGTCGTACCACTGGCTGTGTGCTTGACTCGGGTGATGGAGTCTCACATACGGTACCTATTTACGAAGGGTATGCACTACCCCACGCTATTGTGCGATTGGATCTGGCTGGTCGAGACTTGACCGACTACATGATGAAGATCTTGACTGAGCGTGGGTACTCGTTCACCACCACTGCTGAACGAGAAATTGTACGCGATATCAAGGAGAAGTTGACGTATGTTGCTATGGATTTCGACGAGGAGATGAAGACAGCAGCTCAATCCTCGGCATTGGACAAGTCATACGAGCTGCCTGATGGTAACGTGATTGTGATCGGAAACGAACGCTTCCGTACCCCTGAGGTGCTGTTTAATCCGTCCATGATTGGTCGCGAATGCTCGGGAGTTCACGAGTGTGCTTTCCAAACGATCATGAAGTGCGACGTCGATATCCGCCGAGACCTGTACAGCAACATTGTGCTGTCCGGCGGCTCGACGATGTTCCCTGGAATTGGTGATCGCATCACCAAGGAGGTGATCAAACTTGCCCCAACGGCGATGAAAATCAAGATCGTCGCGCCTCCCGAGCGCAAGTACTCGGTCTGGATTGGAGGTTCCATATTGGCCTCTCTGGCCACGTTCCAGCATATGTGGATCTCCAAGACCGACTACGATGAATCGGGGCCATCCATCGTTCACCACAAGTGCTTCTAAGCCAACCAGACGCAACACCTTGAGGCTCAAGTGCTTTGGTGTTGCAGTATTAGCTTTCCTTATCGTGAATTTTGATTAATATTTAACCAAGTTTTGAGTTACTCCTGGTCTGCTAGGCTCCTCAAGTCGCCGTCTTGGCTAGACGCACTGCCTCTGCAAACTCAGCAATAGGCTTGGCACTCCACATCGTTGAGCTCTGTTCCTCCTTGTCACTAAGTGAGCTCTCGTAGTATGCCAAGTGTCCACCAGACTTTGTAGTGCACAGAATCACATTCGGACTGGACTCTATCAGAGCCCGGGATGGTAAGGCTGTGCGTACACTGATAGGATCGTCCTCAGCGTTGATACACAGCAGCGGCACCTTGACAGCACGAAGCTTCTTGTCGGACGACGCGTCTTCGTAGAAATGGTCAGCATTCTTGTACTTGAATAACACACTGGTAAGGGTGTCGTCGAATTCACGCACAGTGCGTGAAGCTCTAACCGCTTCCATGTCTAGACCTGGATAACCTTCAAACCTCTCGGCAGCATTACTCTGAATAAAACAAATGTTAGTCTTTGTTTAAAACTCGATATTCGCAAAACTACCTTTTCGAAGAAGAGCGCCTTCATGCTTTGGTTGAGAGCCTTGTCGTACATGAATCGATTGAACCATGTACTAGACAGGTTCTCCGATACTTTGATCAGGTTGAAGGGATTTCCAACCGAGACAGCTCCAGTCAACGGTGTTTGATCTCCTTCTTCACCCAAATATTTAACCAGCACATTCGAGCCCATCGAGAACCCAACACCGACGAAGGCTTCCCGTCCAAAGTCGTATTTCTTGACCAATTCTTGCAACACGAAGCGCAGATCTTCAGTGTAGGCTGTGCAGTAGAGTTGCGCAGTCTTCACAGGGGTGTTGGCACATCCACGCGCGTTCAGAACGACGCACTGCCAGCCGATTTCGTGCAGTTTGGCAACTGTGAAGCGAATATAATTCGCTGGGCTGCCTCCTGTAAGACCAGGCAACAACAGCACTGTACGTCGCGTTGGATCCACACCTTCAACCCACCCATTGCTATCTTTACTGGTTGGTAAGTGTCCAGGCAGAAGCGCCCAATCGAGTGACACAACTCCGCCGTCGGGCATGTCCAAAAGCTGACGTTTGTAGTTGATCGTGGGTCCACATTCGTCGTTTGCAAATTTGATCGTCTGTAGATGTCCATTGAATAGACTCCACGGCGGATAATACTTGGTTTGAGCTGCACCATAAGGCGTTAGGAAACAGACAATCCATTACAAATACCAACGTACTCATCGTAACGCAGTGCGACAACAATTTGTTGTTAGCAGGCGTCTTGCGGTAGATCAGTCGTGGTGTCTCCCCCGCACGGGCCAAGTGCCAACGCACTAGCATTGCCGTCATCGTGGGGCCGAGTTGCTTCTTAGCTAAATACAACAACACCAACACGGATGCCAAGCGGAAACGACGCTGATGGTTTTGAATCAACGCACAGGCGAAGACGTTCCCCATAGCTTTGAGCGCTTCCGAATGTTTTCACGAATGACGTGCCAATTCGTCGAGTGCAACTGGCACAATCAACGGTCTTCGACTATAAAGATGACCTAAGATTTCCAGTGACCATTTCTGTAGAACACTTGTGATATGTGGTGGAGCGATACGTTGGCTTTAGCTCGTGGAAAATGACGGTTGTGTGCTGCATTGCCACTCCCGAATTCGTCCGAGACAATGAAAGCGTTCACTACATCCACCTTGACGAGTCTGGTGCTGTTGTATTTGCTAGGAGCTCTGAGTTGCCATGCCGCCAAGACGCAGCTCGCACTGAGCGCAGGAAATAGTTATATGAACTTTCGGTTTGATGTGACGCAGCGTTGCTACTCGCTGGACTCGTGCTACGCTGGCAAGGCATCGTACGCTTCTTGGTTGGCGCTCAAGGAATCGACACGTATCGCCTTCTACACAGCGAACCAATGTCAAGGCGAGCACGTTACTGTTAGCACTGCACCGCGGGGCTCGCTCAAGTTTGCTGAAGTTGGCTTCGACAAGAGTGTGTATTCGTTCATGCTGCTGGAGACAGGTGCATACCCGATCAGCGGATTTCTTGATATTTGTCACGGCAACGAGAATACGCGACTAAATACAACCAACTCAACGGAAAGCGGGCTTCTGGCTGATGGCAGTGACCTGATGATCGCCACGTTCGACACTTCGGAAGATGCTGGGGACAACTAAATGTACAACAGTCGGTCAAATTGTATTTTTTTTTAGAATTTTCCACTCGTAAGGACGGCATCATTTAATACAATTTCGTTACGATGATGTGTCCTGGCGAGAAACAACGCGTAATATAGCTGTTATAGCCCCATAACCTCTGTCAGCATAACAACTTCAACAAGACTAGAGTCAAAATGCCTGAGTTGTTAAAGCTAGGAACGCTGTTTACTTGCTTGTCATGATCTCACAAAACTGTTCAAATGCTAAAACGCTTCCCATGTCCACTGATTTAAAACGACAATAAAAACAAAGAAGCCCTCCCTGCAAGAGTGCTACGCCATCTTTTTACAGTATAAGTGGGCGTATAGCAATCCGTTGTTGTATAAGTTATGTGTCCGAAGTGCCTAAAAGATTTGTACATGCGCGCTTTTGAATCTGAGTTCATTTGTATCTTCAGACGGCTGATTCGTGTGCAGCGGTAATGAAATACTGAAGAACATTATCATTTTACTGCTACAAGATGCTGGGGCTGCAATGCTACCGCAGTAGATGCGCATACATCGCAGACTGAATGCCTACCGTAGCTAAAGGTAACCATGAGCAACAAAGTTTGTTGTTGGACAAACAAATCGGAGCAGCTCAAAAAATGGCGGGAAAACAGTTCAAAGACAGTCCGGACTCCATTTTTGACCAATCAAAGAGCGTATTATCCATCCGAATGATTATGCTGATTCTTTAATGACCAATCACAATTCGCGCTCTTTCGTCCAGTGCCACTCTTTTGACTCCCCCATCCCCCTGTAGGCTACATGTACGTTGGCTTTGCTTGTCAATCCCAATTCTGACTGATTCAAGACGCTTGTATTGGTATGGCGCCGTCGTCTGGAGGAGAAGAGAAGACGAAAGGTAGTTCGCTCGATACGGTACAGCGAAGCGATATGCACGAGCAACAAGCTTCGAATAATGAAGTGCCTACCGCTTTGCTAGTCTCTGACGATAGCGAAGAGATTGAGCAATTGTCCCCGCGGTCTCGAAGGAGACGGAAGAATCGCAACCAAATGCGGCTAGCGCGTCAGATGGAGAGAGTATGTGTACGGTATAGTGTTTCGATGGTCGCATTGACTAAATCCGTTCATTTGTCTACACAGGAGACAATGCAGAGACTACGTGAGACAATGCACCGTCTAGAAGCTCGATACCAAGAGACCGTGGCTCGAGGGATTCTACCACTTCCATGTGGTGAGTTTTCATCGCAGGACGTTAATCCAAATATCTCTTCAGAGGTTGCATCACCTTCTGAGTACGTCAAACTGATCGAAGAAGGAGCTCGCTTAAAAGACGAGAACTTTCGCTTTCGAAGAGCTCTCCACGAGAAGAGCAAATTACAAGAGACTTTGGAGAGATTATATGAAGATTCTCATCAACCACTAACGCAGGAGGAGATCAACATGAGGCGCTGCGTGTTTGAAGATCAATGTGTACACAACTCCTGGACACCGCTCACAGAGGAGGAAGTCTGGGCTTACATCCGTGCCACACACGATCGGGTTGCCATTGCGATACAGTCCGTGTTACAACGTCTAGCACTGAAAAGGCTGGACCCAAACGTCAGACCTCTGCCCCCATTCTTAGGATGGCAGGTGCGATATCATCGAGAAGACGACGAAGTATTATTCTCATTTGAGAAGCCGTTCTATCACGTGACAGCACTACAGGCCATGCAGCAAACGTGGGACAATGAATTGACCATGCAGAGTTACCGGAGACCGGTCGATGTAGCCTCGCAGTCCATGGCTGTATACCAGATCATCAACCACGACACCTACGTGTTCAGACGCCGAATGCGTTTCTGTGACAAGGTAGTTACCACGCACTACTTGCGATTCCGGTTGAAGACGAGCTCAGGCTACGCAACAGGACACTGCTCAGTCGACAGAAAGCCGCCACAGGAAGAAAGACAGATCTGGGCAGCCAATCTATCGCTTTGGACAGACTTCAACATGGTTTGGTCAGCATCAGGCCAGGAGTACTGTGTCGTGCGTATCTCGGGCAGAATGAAGGTAGACGCCACTGAGGTTGCAGCCACGAAGGCTGCTACCGATATTATGTTCGGACTACTTCGCTGGGAAAACTTAAATATTGGTCCCGTATTTACTTTTACGGCCAGTTAAGATGCGGATATTTCTCAGTAAAGATTATTTTTTTTTACGTGCTGGATGGTATTCAGCCATTGAAACATGAAAGTTTACGTCGTGGATGGTATTCAGCGAGTGGAACGTGAAAAGTCACAGCACTTGCGTGGTGGAACTCGACTGATGAATTAACGGATTTTTTTGAATTTTAGTCTGAGACAATAGACTAAATTTCACTTGCGCTGGTCGGCAGGTATTGTAATCAAGGTTTTACAATTGCCTGGCGTCTCATTTGCCATTGTCAAGAGGGCAGGAGGAGGGAGCGCGATGACGAAGGCACGACAGCGAGCTCCCAGATCATGGTGCGAGATATAGAGTTCACAAGACGAACGTACATGTCTTCTTGGGTGTTGTACTCCGTGCGTGCGATGAACTTGACGAGGCACCCAGGCTCGCCCGTGCGTTCGTCCTGTCCAGCTGAAAACTCTACCCAGTTCGAGCTATCAACGTACTCGAAATTCGAGTCTCTCTCGGCCATCTCGCGCACCTCGGGCGACGAGGGGTTGATTGAATGGCGACCGATTACATAACCCTTGTCAGTTTGCATGCGAAAATTCAGGAAGATCATGCGCATGACCTTGTCGTGTTGCACAGGGTGTTCAATGTCAGTACCAGCGATGTACGTGCTGTCATTGATTACCTGGAGTACTTCGAACCGTAATTTGCGTCGAAACGGGGTAGAAGTTGGCTTAGAGTCCCTTCTCCAGCTGCTAACCATGGCTTGTTGCGGTGTAATACCGACGAAAAATTTGGAAAAACTCACGTAAAAATCTCCGTCAGGGTTGGTTTCGTGACGAACTTCCCATCCAAAAGTTGCCGACGGTGGAAATGCACAACCTTTACGTGCATTGGAAGGTTGCGGTGTATCTGGAGTTGATGGGGAGCTTGGGGACTCAACGTCGGAGCTGTCTCCGTCTGAAACCTCAAAAGGGGACATGAGCGGCTTTACCGTCTCTTCCATCGCCCGCATTTGTTGATAACAGTTGCGTATATGCTCATTGGCTTGATCCTCGGTCATTGGCACATACTCATAGTCTGTAAAAAGTGTCGAGTCGTCCGTCGTAAGTGGACATGCCAGCTCCAGCTCCTGTTTTCGATCTACCATCACTTGTTGGAACCTTCTGTGGGTCTTTTGCTTTTCCACGAGCATTTGCTCGAGCAGAAACTTTTCCTCTTTCAGCGTATGCGATAGATCCGCCAACGCGCAGTAATTCGCCTCTAGCGTCGTCGAATCAGAATCCCCATTGCTGTTGCTGCTACTCGCGCGACGACGCTTTGCCTGTGATTTCTCGTTCAGTTCCTGATAATGTTTCTCTAGCTGTTGAAGTGTCAATTTCATCCGCTCGATGTCATCCCGTTGCCGGCGTCTTGCACGTTGCATGGACTCTCGATTTCGTTTCCGACGGATCTCCAAAGGTGTGAGCTTCTTTTCTTCTTTCACCGTCACGGTCGCACTTGTCGCGACAACTTGCGCTGTTGCTGGTTTGCGTTTCCGCTGCACTTTTGCACCTTTCCCTTCTTTCCCCTTCACGGCAGCATTCGGTTCAATTTTAACTACCAGTTCGTTGCCTTTTTGCTTTGAATTTCGGGGTGTTCTTGTTGCACGTGTGACTGGTTTCCTCTCGCTTTCCGGTTGTGAATCTTCGGATATTGCCACTTGCCGTGTTGCAGCGGCAACTGCAGTGTGAGAGTTCACTTTAGTTCGGTTTTGCTTGGACTCGATAGCCACGGGGGAGATGGTCTCGCGGGAGCGCGATGGCTCGACGAAGGCCGTGAGCTCCACCTCTTGCTCGTCCAGCAGCAGCTCCACGGGTTCGAGGCCCGCGTCAGTCTTCGTATCCGTCACCTTGCCGTCACCCAGCGACAAATCCCACCAGGCTGCGGCCGCCTGGGCGCCTCCTCCACCCTGAGCCTCCAGATTACCCCAGACGCGCATCATCGCATCATCTGGCTCTCCTCGAGCCGGGGATTCGGCGGTCGCTGCGTCGTCCAGTAGGAAATCTGCGTCTTCCGCGGCCAATAGCTCGAGATCCACCGCCATGAACTGTCGAAACTCAAGTGATCGGCTTTGCAGACGCTTCCACGCAGATCTACGCAGCACTTAGAGAGAACGAGACTGCGGTGGCGGTCGTTCTTGGAGGGATTTGACTGCGGTATTCCTCATCACCTTTTTGGCTATTCCTTGAGGATTGGCTGAAAAAGTGGTGATAAATCGAATTGGAGAAAGACCATTGGCGGAAACGCTCCGAGTGTGAATGATGGTGCTATTACAGTGATCGTGGGGAATGCAACAGCTTATACGGTTGGTTAGTGTTCACCGCCCTTGTGCTCTCATATGCATGTGCTAACATACTCAGTTAGCTTGAGAGTCCCCGCCTCACCGCCTTCGATCTCAGCTAATTTGAAGCATAAATCAAATCCAATTACAGATCCCACTCACACTTTCAATCTCTAGAATTGAAATGTCTTATTCAAGATATAAAACATTTGACGTTGTGTTTGCGCGAAATCCAACATGACCATTACTCCTACTCTCTAAAACGACGTATACCAATAGAACGTTTATGAAAGGGTATTTAACATCAGTAGTATCAGAAAGTGAGAGCGGAGTCTGTCTGTTGTCTTTTCTGTGGCAAGTGGTATATGTACTGATCCAGTCGACGCGATAATTCGTCTACACCAACGTCACCAGTTTCGCTTGCCTTCTTTCCGCCGCTGTACTCCCGTACAGTATAACGACAGCGGCAATTCATGGAGGAACCAGCCGAAATCCCACTACTTGTAGCAATTTGGTTGCCGTAGCATTTCAAGTTGATGTAAATTGGACTTGCGTATGTAACCATGAATCTCGGCCACAGGGTAATTTGATACATTTTACACGGGCGATCAGCAATTTGAATCCAGCAATCTCCGATGTCGAAAAAAAACCGTTCTTGAATCTCGTCTCAAATATGCTCACTCCAGCGACAGAAGGAACTCCTCGAGTACAGGATGAAACGCCAGATTATTAATTGTACGGATCGAGAGAGAACATACCAACAGTGTTCGCCGACTCGACTATCAAGTAGTGCATGCATCATTAACGAAACTAGTGGAGGAGATTCTTAACGAATAGCAGTGTCGCTTCATGCCCATGTCCCTGTCCGGTACTGATGGTCCCGCGAACCGAGTCCCGATGCTTTTTGTTTGTTTGAATCTAGCACTGTTGATCGTGCTCCAAATTTATGAATGGTTTACACTACTACGCCAGGGATGGCAATACGAACGTTTAAACGAACTTCAATTGGATTTCAAACTTTTTTCAAAAACGTTCGAAATGCCGTATTACTAAGTACGAAAAGCGTGCTACTTGATGAAAGTATACCCCCAAAATGACAAAAAGGGCCTCTATTCAGTAAACCAAAGTACGTCGTGCAGGAGGACAGAAGCAAGCGGCAAACCTCCGGCCAAGTAATTCGTTGGGCACTTGCGGATCAACAAAGACAGCGTCGACAGGGACCCCGGCGTCCGGAGCATCACCTGTGCATCCTCCATCTGCGCTTGCTTCCTTCAGGTCCAATTGTCCATTCTTAAAGCAAGAGTGGGAAAGTAAGCTTCAACCTGAACGAGGCTACTATTAGCGTTGCTGCTGTAGTTGCTCCAACGCATTTCTATTCGATTAGAAAGGGTTTTGCTTCGTTTTAATGTTCAAACGTTCGTTGAAAGAATTTGAAATCAAAAAATGTTTGAACCTTTTATGGAAAGAATTTTCTATTGCCATCACTGACTACGCTGGTATCCCGCATTAAACTTTTTTTTTAGGGTATTACAGTATCCGTATCGCTCATTGCCTCATCACTAACCACTTGAAAGTGTAAGCTCTTGACTATATTTTAGATTTGGTGCGTACGCGAGTACCCATACATGTAAGCTTATATAATTGACACCCTTTTGAAATTCTGAAGTCATTTCCATCGTCAAGGAGGAAAACATGATGTATGCTAGAGATGTCAACGATTTGGCACGCATTTCCTTTATTTACCAAACAGAAGAAAGAGAGATGGAGAACTGCCGTTTATCACATACCACATTGTTTAGCTGAACAGTTCTAAAACTAGTTGATGATATGATTTTTTTTTTGCGAGGTAGCTTAAGCAATTGCATAAAACATATAATAAAGAGTTTTTGCAAAGCTCCCCATTCCTCCTCCAATACAAACTCTTGCAATTGTCAAATGCAGTTCCGGAGGTTTCAGTGTGTGGGAGTGGAACAGTCAGACATGTGGAGGAATACACTGGAACAAGGTATGCTCCCACAGATTTGAAGTCTATCACTGATTTGCACCTGCTAGAATTTAACCTTTCATGTGGGAACAGCAATGGGAAAGTTGCGAAACCTCTCTACTATGTCATCTAGTCATGTTTCAACATGCGCCTTTGTTTGGTTTCCACCATTCATCCAAAATAAGTGTAAGATATCGCAGAACTCTAATCCCTCCAACGTACACATCGCAGCACGGCGGACACGAGCTATAAGTAAAGCGATGCCACTAATTGAGCTCAGAGGTTGATACCTCCACTTGTTGAAAACTTGTCAGAAATTGATGACTTTTTCGACAGAAAAATGAAAAATAACCTTTTATTTATGCAGCGAGCAAGCGATAGTTAGCAATTTTAATTACTTTTGTTTTAAAGAAGCTTTGTGCCGACACTTTTCTATATTTAGTTTATTTCTATATTAGGGGTTGTCGCGGATAGAAGGTAGGTTTCAGCAGCCAAACCTACCTGCCCCATTTTGCCCCATTTTCTTCCCCAAAAAGCAGGAAGGTTTGGTTGGTACTTGCAGGTTTGACATGATTGGTTGAAAGTCACGTTAGAAAGTTTGATTTGATTGGCCGCAAGGAAACCACTTTCAAATATGTATCATGCTTCGTCTTGTACACGACCTTGTTTTCCCTTGATAATGTATTTTGGAAATGATTTTTTTTTATTATCGTGGCAGCGCGAACACGACCAGAATGCATGTTTTGGTATATATTTTTTTAAGTCGCGGATGCGTCCAATTTGTGGGGATAGTTCATTTTCATGTATTCAACCAGGAGGTCACTCCAATTATATCCATTTTTGAAATGGATGCTATCCATAATGAGTGCATGCTGGGAGAACAAAAATAAAGCGTGGTTTCGAGATAAGATCTGTGTAGTCGGGCGGGCGACAGAACAATTTTATCTCGTTTCCCTTCAACAACCTAAAGGACTAAGGACGATTCTTTAATTAATTGAACGATTCTAAAGTTATAATCCACCCGGGCGAAAGCACTGCTTTGTCCCGAATTTACGGTAGTAAATGTATTTACACTGTACAGTACCGTACTTGAGATCTCATACTACAGAGAGATCACTTTCTACATACCGTAGAAAAAGTTTAACAATGGTATACACACAAAAATCCAATACAAACACTAGCATAAACATATCTTGGTGGGGAATTTTACAAGAGAAGTATAGATTCAACCTTTAGTGACAAGATCAGAATAAACGGATGGTTATCGCGATATCCAGATTGTTGCCGAAGTAGCAAATTTATTAATGAGCAACGAAAGCAGGACTTCTGTGCTAGTCCTCCTACATGCATTGCACTAGGGGCCTCTAGTACACTTGGAGTTTGTGCCGCGTCATCCTAGGAACCGCGTAAACGGCCCCGTAAGCAACACCGCTGCATAAACACCTTCATAATCGCCACAACCGCATAATCCTTGATGAAGTGGGTCGGTAGCTGCTGCTGTACGAAGCGGTAGGGCTTGCTCTCGATCCGGCGACACTACCCCCTAAAGCCCGAACGCATCGTGCTCAAGGTTGACCGACTGCGCTGACGAAGTCCTCGTTGTCCACAGTCTGTGCGTAGCTTCGCACCTTGTCAGGAACCTGCGCCATCAGCCCTGTCAATGGGTCCCATGATGCTTCGATCGGCTGTAGCCCTGTCCAGTTCACCAGGAGCTCCCATCTTGAGAGTGCCTGATTGTAGTGGAAGTCTGCGATTCCGTCCACTCCGAGCAGCATACCTTGGTTCGAAACAAACTCACGGATCTCTTCCGTCACATTCAGAGACGAATCGGCGTAGAAGCGAAGTCGCGAGCCATGGACTTCATATGTAACACCCGATAGTAAATGACGAATCACAAACGAATGCGGTCGAGCTTCCGTCACTGCAAACGGGCCCACCCACTGCGCCAGGAGCTTGTCCTTCGAGAGTCGCTGGTCAACCCTCGACCATAGTACATAGTCCCCAATATCGAAGTTGACCGTAGAACCCTTTGCTACTGCCATGTCATAAAGGCGTTTCTTCTCCTTTGCATCGACGACTTCACGGTGCGTTGCAGACAGTGACGCTCTAAGCTTTTCCAACGAGTCCCCCACGCACTCCAGGTTGATCTCTGTAAGCAAATCACTGGCTTCAGCCCGGCTGATGACATCTAACGACGATGCTGGTGGCAGGGCCAGGAAAAGCTCCATCGGACACTTGCTGGCCAACGAATGAACTGGCGTCTGGTTCAAATTCGCTTGCACTACCGGAAGTAAGTAGGGCCATTCATGATGGTCCAGGTGGTACTCCATCAGCATCACTCTGAGGACTTGAAGAATGTCACGATTCAGTCGCTCCACGGTGCCGTTCAGCCAGGGTGCGTAAACAGGAGAGAACCGTTGCTCGATCTTCAAGCGGCTGCACAGGTAATTCACCGTCTCGTTTCGGAAATGAGACCCTTGATCGGACATGAGCTTCTCGGGACTTCCATAACGCTTGTGCCATGAGAGAAGAGCATCTGCAGCAGTAATCGAATCCGCATTGGTGCATGCAAATAGCTCGCAATAGTGAGTCAGCGAGTCCTTAAGTACCATTACATAGCGATCTCCACCAAATCCGTCGCCAAGGGCGAGAAAGTCCCAGTGTAGCATTTCATTCCTCCTAGTCGCCGTGTAGGTAGGACCATACACCCGCGGTATCACCCGAGGACCTTTGACATGTTTACAGAGCAGACATGCTCCGACAAACCTTTGAACTTTCTGGTGCAGCTTTACGATGAAGAATCGGTCATTCAGCACAGTGTAGACGGCATGTCCACTGCGATGACCTTGGGATCCACAATGAGCGACGACCATCAACCTTGACACCAAATCACGAGCCGAAGAGGGCACCCACACCTTGTTGGCCAACATGATGACCCCATCCACCATTGTGTGTTCTTCACCAAGGTCTCTGAGAGCTGATTGAGCACCACGCTGCGCCTTCACGATGTCTGCCAAACCAGGAAACGTGAAGTCTTCGTCCGAAAGCGGGCGTAGCACTGAAGCGATGGCTTGACCTCTAGTCCGCACCGCTGCAGCTCGCGCCACAGGCACTTTCCACCTTGATATAATGTCTGCCCAGACATTTACCTCGCCAGCTACGTGTTCAATAGTGAACCGCAAGCCACAAAGTCGCATCGCCCATCGCTGTAGACGATCGCGCACATGTTTCTTCAACTCCACGTGCGGAGCGACGATGTAGATAAGGTTTGCATGATCGCAAAACAGTTTGAACCCGCGTTCACGCTGGAGTAGGTACTCGAGATCGGTACACGCCTTGACAATCGGAAACGCTTCCTTTTCTACGATCGCCCAGTTCACTTGAGAGTCCTTGAAAGTTCCGCCTTTGCACAGTACCATCCGGTGGTGCTGCTTCTCCACAGGAAACGAAGGATCCCACGTCTCCACCTCGGTGATGATAATACTCGAACCAGTAAGTGACGCGTCGGTCATGACGCACAGTTCCGATGTCGGGCTTGGGAAAGCCAGAGGTACTGAGGCCTTGATCAGCTCCTTCACTGCATTGTAGCTGTCCGTCTCATGTTCCGTTCACGAGATGGCTACATTGAGAGCATTCTTGTTGCGCCTACCGATCCGCTTCCGCTCTGCACCCAGCTTCTCCTGCAAAGGCGCAACAACACGCGAATAGTCAGGCAGCGACTCGTGCAGCCAGTTGCTGGCACAAACGAAGAACTGTAGCTCGGCCACTGTTGAAGGTAGGGGGAGCGCTGTCAGCGCGTCCTCCCGCTCCGGATCGTGTCGAATCCCGCTACCAGAGATCAGCTTACCGCACCACAGGGTTTCCAGCGGGAATAGAGAGCTCTTAGCAGCGTTCAGCTTCAAACGTCGGTTTCGCAAGATAATGAAGAACTCCTTCAGCGCATACAGGAACTCATCGATAGTTTTACCGAAGATGATCACGTCGTCCACCCAGACCAAAGCGTTGCGCTGCAACACAGGCGCCAGAACGTCTTGCATCTGCATCTGAAAGCGAATAGCAGAGTCTACGGCACCCTGGGGTACACGAGTCGGGGTATAGACAGCGTCTTCCGTCATGAATGACATGAGCTCTTGGCTACTCGGATCCAAGGGCAATTGCCAGAACCCTTTTATCATGTCGAACTTGGCAAAGCATACAGCACCTCGAACGGCGGACGAGGCCACCGCAAGGTTGGGCATCGTCCCGGCAATGGTAACCGTGAGCATGTTGACGGGTCGGTAGTCAATAGTGATGCGAAACTCCGTAGTCGAACCAGGTTGCGCACGGGAACTGCAGCACACGCCCATTTAGCAGCGTTGTTCTTCCTGATAAACCCACGCTTCTCCAACTCAGCAGTGTATTCACGGAGGAAAGTACTCTGAAGTGGTGCATATTTCCGAGGTTTGCATCGGAACGGAACAGCGTCTTGGATCAGCGTGACCTTTAGAGGTTCTACAAGAGCCGGAGGGTCATCGCCAAGGCTCTCACGGAAAACGTCGACTTGGTCACGTACCAGCACCCGCATCTGCTCCTCGTACCTACGCTCCAGCCCATTATCGACGGCTGCATCCACGAGGTGGTCAAACACAGCGTCGTCTCTGCCAACCTCGCCAGGTAATACATCTCCCACAGGAAATTCATCTTTCTCTTCATCCAGCAAATTCGAGCTAGCCAGCTGTTCAATCATTCTCTCGACATCGATACGATGCGATTTCATCGCATCGTTTCCTAGTAGCAGCTCCTCAACATCATATTCCAGCACGAGACACCGTACCTCTCTCATGTGGACGGGTCCAGCAGCAGTAACTAGCTCCAGCGCCACGGTAGCTTCCTCGATGCAGTCTACACGCTTTCCGTCAGCCAGATAGACTGGATTGGGCGCTTTAGCATTTTCACGTCGAGGTCCACGTCGAGCGCCTGCAGCGACGCGATAACCACCCGAGAAATCATCGTTCGGTCTGCACCACTGTCTGGAATATAAGGTATTTCCAGCACACTGTTGATCTTTGCCATGTTGGCTCGTACTGTGGCCGAAACAGCCTTTGAGCGCACAGATTCGTTTCGAGCGTTCTTGGCTTCTCTCAACTTAGACAAAGCATCTGCCTTCTGACCTGCCGTAGCCGTTGGACACTCATCCAACCAATGGGCACCCTTGCACACCAAACAGCCATCACGTGGAGGAGTCCGAGCCTTCTTCTCAGCAGTGGGCGTCGCTTTTACAGGCTTGGCTGATCGCTTCCCTTGCTGCTGTGGCTGCTGTCCACGCGTCTGAGGCACGACTCGCTCCACACTTTGTACGTGGAACCTCTGCTGCACCCGAGCATGTTCCAGAATCAAGTCGAAGAGGGCTGCATCGTCCGTCTTATAGTCCCGTCTCTCATACTTGATAAGGCGCTCGATCTGCTCCTTCAGCATAGCGGGCTGAATATTCTCCACGAGAATTGCACACCGAGCCTTCATTCGGTCCTTGTAGCCAGGGCCGGCAGCATTACCTCCGCCAATCAGCGCCTGCAGACCGTTGTCCTCCACAATTTTTGTAAAAGACTGGAAGTACTGAAACACTCGTGCGTCACAGTCATCCACCTCCATATCCATCTTCAAGGACTTGCGAAAGAGCGTAGTGATGTCCGGAATGAAGTCGTTCTTGAGAGACCTGCAGCGCTTATGCACCTGCGCCAGGATCTCCGCGTCGTCCACATTCTCCACTCGCTTCTTCAGCACGTACGTAGCTAGTGTTTCCAGCACGGCCGGTTCCACCGAGCCCTTCACCGTAGCCACGACACCTTCGAAGCTCTCGCCGGTCACTCTACAGCGATGGCGGATCTTCGTCAGGTATTGCTCCCATTCGCGATTCCACACGATCAGGGAGGCCTGGTCCCAACTGGCCAGTTTCGGCGCCCTGATAAACTCATACACGGGTTGAGGCGTGCTCATCTCCACGTCCCCATCAGCGTCTAGAGCGTAGCGTGTCCCCATGTTCAGCACCGTTGAATTCACCGAGCCCACAGAAACGTACTTAGTCGAGTAGTCTTGGTCTGCCCGGCGGTTAACAAAAGTTCTTCGGGAAGAGGCGTAAAGTTAACTTTATCGCGATATCCGGATTGTTGCCGAAGTAGCAAATTTATTAATGAGCAACGAAAGCAGGACTTCTGTGCTAGTCCTCCTACATGCATTGCACTAGGGGCCTCTAGTACACTTGGAGTTTGTGCCGCGTCATCCTAGGAACCGCGTAAACGGCCCCGTAAGCAACACCGCTGCATAAACACCTTCATAATCGCCACAACCGCATAATCCTTGATGAAGTGGGTCGGTAGCTGTTGCTGTACGAAGCGGTAGGGCTTGCTCTCGATCCCGCAACAATGGTGACCGAGGCTACCAAGTGCAAACCTTAAAATAGCAGAACTCGCCAATAAGAGTATAGCCCGCCCTACTTTTCCTGGCAAACAAATTCTACAATGCACTCCGCTTATGTGATCAACATACAAACAGTTCTAAACGAATTCCTAGACATCTTTTGAGTGTACTCCCTCAGCCATGTAGCAGTAGCGCAGAAGTATGAAAGTTGAGGGTATACAGACCAGCATATGGCACTGATTTAGCAACCCGCGGGTACGACAACATGTATCACTGCTAACATATCGGCAAGCTGTACGCTAATGCTAGGACTCAAAGGACTGAGCTAGTTGACTCCGGTCCTCTGGTAATCTATAGTTTCTGCGATTCCAACTGGCCGTAGTTTCTATCTGTAGCTCGTGAACTCAGCTTTGGATGTCTTTGCAGATTCGACAATTGTTTCTGCATACATTTCGTTGCACGGTCGGCAATATGGCATGACTCTATCGACTGAGTACAAGCGCTCAGATCGTTTCTTCATAGTCACGTGCCTTCCAGAGCAGGACAGCCAATAAAACACTACTGTGTCTGTCTCAGATTTCAATTTCTATATACTACTCTTGACAGGACAAATTACTGCTCGACCCCACGGACCCTCTTACTGGTATTAATACTGTCGGAGATATTGCTGGCGTTGTCAATTAAGTTGGGATCTATACTACTCCTGTCAAATCCTCTATTCTGTTGAGCAGAACCTTCATCAAAAGGTCAGACAACACAACTTCAAGAATATGGTCTATGGAGTATGGTATCTTAAACATGACGAACATGTAACCGGTCTAGAAAGCCTAAATGCGTCAATAGTTTTTACGAAGCATAAATACGTCAAGTATATCTTCAAAAATGACTTGTTCTGTACCAAATTATCCGCTTTTTTACGGTGTTGGTACATGTTCGTCGTGGTATACGGTAAACTTCCCCGTAATTATGTAGTGTGTTGTGTTACGCGACAATTGCGTCCCTTTGTAGTGGTCACATAATTATTAAAATATAAAGTTCAGTTAGTTTAACAGGCTTTACATGGATCAGAGACCGCCACATAGATACCTACCTAAATAAACGATTAGAGGGCTCGGTTTAAAGGAGGTTCCATCTGTTGTGATGATGTCGGGCATCCTACGGATGGCATTTGGAGATCTGAGCTTACTGTTCCCTAAGAGCGTGTTCGCTTTGTGTCCTAGATGGAGATCGCAGTAGAGAAAGGCACATATCGTCTTGATCTGCGTTCGCTCCAGCTCCATCTCCACACATCATTTTAACCAATAGCAAACTATTATTGTTCGTGCACCACTCTGGCTTCGCAGACACCAAGACACCAAGACAGCTTCATGATGATGGCCCGCAAGCAAGCTCCACAGACACAGTACACGCCGCTTTCTCCTTCGCAACTGTCGGAAGATGCTGATCTCCGTCAAGTTGACGACCGGGTATCATTGAGCGTAGGGGATTACGACCCTGGGACGTTTGCTCAGCTCGCCCAACTTTCTTCGGCGCCGACCGCTACACCGGCAGACTCACGGCAAACCATGGAGCGTCAAAGTGCAGTTGCCTCTTTAAGTGTCGATGCAGCGGGGAAAGCACTTACTGCTGGTGGTAGTGCTGCTAGCGAAGGGCCAAATGCTGCGCAAGAGCCCCCCACTACCTTTGCCTGGACACCGAAGGCTGCCGAAGCGCTATTGCGTGTGCGCTACGAGACGATGCGTGACCGCTTTCATCGCAATAAGAGTGCGAAGCAGCTCTCCATTGCTTGGGGGCTTGTGGCAACGGAGACCTCGCGACTTGGCGGGCTCATCGTCGACGCGAAGCAGTGCAAGTCAAAGGTACTGTACGACTATTGACGTGTTGCCGACCAATTGCAATTTGAACATCAATGTAAACGTATTATGCGATCCCAGCTTAAGCACATGCACAAGCAGTATACAGCGTATCGTGTCGCTGAAGGAGCTACGGGTAACGCTACCGATAAACCATTGAAGGAGCCGCCATGCTTTGCTACGATGTGTGATGTGTGGGAAGACCATGACGGCATGGATGCCGATGCTTTTTTCACTAGCGATGCTTCATACCAAAACCTGTCGTCTGACAGCTCCCAGCAGCTCCATGAGAGATCTGATGCAGAGGTCGAGTGCGGCAAAGAGGCAAAACATCGTGACGAACAACGAGCATCGCGTGGTTGGAAATCTCGTGGTAAACGCTCACGCGGAAGCGATGACGCAGCGGCGGGAATGATGTCTATCGGGGCAGGGCTGAACAACATTGCTGAAGCATTTAAAGCGGCAAGGGTGCAGAACACAGAAAGCCAAAGCAGCGACGTTTTGAGCTCCTTGAAGGAGTTAACGGAGACAGTTCGATCCCAGGCGCGTAGTAGCGAGGAAATGATGAGCTCTGTTCAGGAGCTGACGCACGCAGTGCATGCCCAAACGCTGGCATTGAATAATTTGGTGCAGCTGCTTGCTGCAAACAACAGCACCTCGCAGCGTGAGTGACTGGACTATTGCATCATAAACGCAATAGTAGCAAAGCAAACAGATTGATTTCCCAACAAAATAAATGCTCTATTACGGCCAAAGGAAGCTAGCAATGGCATTCCGCTTCGGAATAGCGACATCTCGTTGGCGGCTTGAGCACGTGGTGTCATCAAAATTAATCTCGTCGTCATCTTCCTCCACGTATCGAGGAATCACAGCAGCATCTCGAAAGCTAATGAACAGATTGTGTAGCACTATCGTAGCAACAATTACATCGCTTGCTTCACGAGGCGTCTCCTGGTTGAGCGGACATTGCAAAATCCGAAATCTGCCCTTCCAAACTCCAAATGTGCTTTCGACTGCCATTCGCGTACTTGAGTGAAAAAAATTGAACTTGTTCTGACGCTCTGTCAGCGACCCACCTTCTTCCCTATCGGAGTATGGAACCATCAATCCAGGCGATAAGGCATAGCCAGCATCACCGATAAAATGCGTTCCTGCAGGAATAATGCTGAAGTGGTTTCGACCGATGGTGCTGTGCTGCCAGCATTTGCGGTCCGACCACGACCCAGGACGCACCTCAACACTCAAAAAAAAATTGTCCATTGTCACGATTGCTTGAACATTCAGCGCAGGATAACTCTTACGACAATAGAAGCCATCAAAATCATCAGGGCGCTCTATCTGAATTAGTGATCCGTCAATGGCCCCAACAACGCCAGGATAGCTGTGGCGTATTGCAAACGCGTCTTCAATAGCACTCCATCTGCTACGGTCACGCGGGAACGAAATTACTCGACACGCTACCAGCTTCAACACGCGAATCACTTCTGCAGTAATTTCCTTAACATAGCTTCGTGACATCCCCATAGCGGCACCAACCTCACGATAACCGCCAGCAGATCCTAGAAAGTAGAGAGCTGCGGCGATTTTCTTTTCGTAAGAATGTTGGCGAACCTTCGCGTTAGCAAACCGAACTCCATGCTCTTGTAGAAAGCGTCCTAGCTGTAGAAACGTCTCCTTCGTACAGCGCATGTTATCCTCAAACCAGCTAGCATAGGCTGCTGATTGCAGCATTGCGTCAAAAGGCAAATACGTCACGGTAAGAATTTGTGAAGGACTCCTCCGAGGAAACGGCGCTCTATCACTCGCAATTGATGCCATGGCGTGCCCTACAGCAGCACACACAACTAGCACTAGATCGTCGTCGTCCATTGATCAAATGTGCTTATCGCCACTCCTCAGTTATCTCCAGCTAAAATTCTCCCTCTCCACCTCTCGGAGGTGGAGACAACATGTACAGAAAAAGTTAATTCTTCTCCTGCTGTGTTGTCGACATCCTTCGCATTTAATCCAATCAGAGACGAGAAAAGATGGTAAGGCGTGGTCGTCTCCATCTACTGCTGCAAAGCGAACACGCTCTAATGGGACTACCCTGTGCCATCAACACATAGGCGGACTTCCACGCTGCAATGACGAATGCCCATTAACCGATTAATCTCCTCTCAAACACGTCCAACTTCGACACTATCCCACTGCCATAATGGTATACTCCTTCCTGTTCAAGTCGACAGTGCTGGTGTCGACCTTGCTGGCATCGCTCGGTGTTTCCAATGCTGAATTGGAGACTGTGAAACTCACGCACCCCACCGGATCCAGCGCAGAGGTTTTCCTTTTCGGGGCGCACGTCAAGTCATTCCGTACTGTATTCGACCCGGACCTCGACATTCTGTTCATGTCCAACCAGTCGCATTTGGACGGCGTGAATCCGATTCGTGGTGGTATTCCAGTTGTCTTTCCCAATTTCGGCAGTGCAACCGGCTTCCCCAGTCACGGCTTTGCCCGCATCACTAACTGAACCCTGTCGGGCGTCGAAACGGCTGCTGATGAGACCAAGCCCAGCGTGGCCAAATTCGCTATGAACGCTAGCGACTCGACCCGCAAGATGTGGCCTGTTGACTTTGAGCTCGAATACGAGGTCAAGCTCTACTCCGCTCAGCTTGAGACTGCGCTGCACGTCCACAACACGTTCACGAAGCCAATTGACTTCCATGCGCTACTGCACAACTTCATTTACGCTCACGATGTGCGCGACAATGGTGTGTGGATTTCAGAACTGAAGGGCCTCGAATACTTCGATAAGGTCTCCAAGACGAACAAGACTGAAATACGCGACGCCTTTGGCTTGACGGCACAGACAGACAGCATTTACAAGAATGCCCCCAACAAGGTGCGTGCTGACATGAGGGGAGCCCACTTTGACTACACCATCGAGGTCGAGAAGGAGGGCTCGATCGACGACAGCAACAACGCCTCTGCAACCAAGACCGATGTGGTCATCTGGAACCCATGGGCTGACCGCGCCAAGACAATGGACGACTTCGGTGACGAGGAGTACATCAACATGGTAGCCATCGAGCCTGGTCGTGTGAGCGAGAAGCTGGTGCTTCCGGCTGGAGAGACGTACACTCTTCACCAGACCATTTCGGTCCAGCGCTTTTCTTAAACCGCCTAGCACCATTAACCCTTTTGATCATAATGAAAATCTGAAGAAGAAGTTTCAACTTGAGAATCTGCATGTAGTAATGAAGTAAGTTTAAAAACAGATTACCCTTTGTTCTAAAAGTAAGGTTGACATACCATCAGCCGTGTTAAACTCCACGGTATAATAAATCATCGTGAACTTATCGATAGGCGATGGTAAGCATTCTCATACTCAATGCGGCTAATAACGCTCGACATTTCATGGTAGTGTACTCGTTAGCCCGGCAAACTGATTAGGCCGAACTAATGGCGGGCCCCAATTACTACGTCGGTTTCCGCGTTGTCTACGTCAGTCAAAGTTAAATGAAGAGGGGACTTGAATTAAGAAAAGGTAACAATGAAAACTTCGTGGTTGCTGTCTCTCAGGTCCAAGCGACGCCGTTTCACCGAACTCAAGAGCTGAAATTACTTCTTGTTGGCCTTCAAGACTATTTCTGTGATTCTTATTAAAGAGCATTTTGAAGCAGCGTGTGTACTACCACCTCGTATCCTTGCTAGCATTAGAATGGACTCAAGTTAAGTTGCTCCAACCACTCGTAATTAACATCTCCTCAATAAAACAGTGTAGGCTGGAAACGGATTAAACTGATTGTGCTGCAATTGAAACCGTCACGAATTTAGGCTACACACAAAAGTTTTGTTCGAAACACATTGACTGCCCACCAAGTTACGATGGGTTATTACCAGACAAAACCTGCTCACAGCGTTCAGTTGCGGCCCTTGGCAGCGGGACTCGGCGTCGGGACCTTAGTGTAGTAGAGCTTGCGGTTGGCGACAGGGCTTGGAGTCGGGAATCTAGTGTAGTAGAGCTTACGAACATTGGACGTATTCTCTTTGACGTCAACGCTGTCGTCGGCTGTAGTCGAAGAGATATACAACGCGGTGGCGAAGGCGACGATGATGAGACCTTTCACGAGTTGCATGGCTCTTGCCGTTAGTCTGCTTGATGTGGTGGCGGGGAGGACGGAAACACAGCAAATTGGCGAATGACTACATGTATAGGCGAAGTTCTGAGCCTCGGACTCCTAGACTATGAGAATAGGTTGAGTCAACATACGGAATACTGGTGAGTAAAGAACAACAGATCGCCATGATTTATGAAATGGTTGAACGGTGGGTCTTTTACATGTACTTCCAGCACCATACAACAAGGTATTTGGGGCATGTAAGTTCATTACCCCTAACCGTCCCATCATGCAAATTGTAAGTCGCACGTGATCGTTGATCACTGCATGCCGCTGTTAGCGGTTTCATATCGAGTAAAATGGTTAATTCGGCAAATATGGAATTTGATACCCCTTATGCATACACTAGACAGCTACGCAGACAAGACCGTTAGTATACACCTCATCACTTTTTCTTAATTTGGCTAAACGTTGTCCGATTTCTATCGCTTTACACTATTTGCCAAGTATTTTAAAAGTGTACAATTTCATTCTAATCGTTGAGGGATGGTGAATCGATGCTATTATAGAACGTGCTAAGTTTCCGTATGGTCAGAGGTGCCCTGAAAACGCAGATTTGAGGATCGTATGTTTGAAATCTATTGAAGATACAGATCTGAACACAGTTCTGGCAGTGAAAACGGCATTCATACCACTCTAATACATTGCTTATTTTTAGTGTTTTTGTTTAGCAATATGTATTATACCTGCACGCCGTACATCGATCGATACTACATAAAGTACCTGTACCCTAGCACTGTAATTGATTCCGAGAACTGCTACCCCACTTTCGATTACGTTCCTTAAACTCTACTGTATTAAGTTTACTTGTGTTACACCATGTCCCGATCAAAGTGAGAATCTCTTCGATCAAAGTGGGCTTTACTAAATTTAAAGTGAGAACACTAAAGATACTAATATAAGATTTGTACCATCGATTTGAGCAGGTATAGCGAACGATCGAGAACATTGGTCGACGCGCTACAGAGCTGCGCCATTCTTCATTTCCAAAACCTTCAACAATTGAATACCTGCGGAATTTAGGAGAAAAATGGTGAATATAAGAGTGCAATACTTCGAATTTGTATTGACGCAGCACCTACTTTTCTGTGCACCACATATTCCATCAAATCATTGTAGCTGGCAGACCTGTTATTCAATCAAGTATATCCACATTCGGATGTCAAATTGGATGCAACTGGGGACAATTCGCCTTTTTTTCTATCCGATTCATCCGATCTAAAAGCGAATGAAACCGGATTTACTCATTCTTTTACAATCTCTAGTTGGATGGTAATGTATTAATTCAAGTTAGTAAAATAGGATACCGCACTAAAGGTTGTTAACAGGTCTGTCAAGACTAACACCGCAGCAGTGAACACAAATGCTTTGTTTTGATGTTTCAAGTATCAAGCCCCTCAGTCTTCGGATAAGTCTCCCTGAGATTCGACAAGAAAACACCATCCTTTTGAGGCATGGCAACGTTAACCTGAGATGATTCTGGTTGGAAGTCGAACATACCCAGTGAATCGCGTGCTTCATCGGTAAGTTGTTCCCTCTTGGTCTTCCCCCATTTCCTAGTGAACGAAAGCGACTGGTTGCCCACCCAGTAATCCACGTACGAGTCTAGCTTGACAGTCTCCTCGCCCTCAATTTACTTTGCCTTGGGAGGAACTTCTTTTTCGTAACCCGTAGGGATTGACAACGATACGCCGAGGATGACCGACGCATCAGGATTCGGGCTGTCCGTCCACACAATTGCATGCGACCAGACGTGGCGGTGGCCTTTAACGTGATTTAGGACAAACTCCGCCCCTTTTGGAAAATACCAAGCATAGACGATGGCCCACTTGTCCTTATACCAATTGGATCGCGAGTAAACTTGGCCCCCTACGTCCGGGTAGTTGCAGTCGCCGTTGGCCCTTCCGGAAAATGCCAAACCCCCACAGCAGCGTACGGATGACATCCGTCCGAGATATGCAGCAGTGGCTTGAACTTGACGGCAGTTTTCTCCGAGTTGCTGGCTGGTTCCGGCTGACTGAAGGTCTGGACTTGGTCATGGTCGATCGTCTTGATGACAGCACTACAGGTCGGAGGTTCGTTTTGGTGTTGGAGAGCGCTGAAGTGTGTTAGTTGCTGGCGATTTTTAAATGAGCGCATTGCTGGCTGTAGTACTGAGCTTATTGCCGGATCGATCTCTCGAGCCGAATCACCTTCGATTTGAAAAGTTTTAGAAAACAATTTTTACCTTATTTTTAAAAAGGTTTTAGCTGACCAATGGTACAGCTGTGTGCAACACAACAAACGTGCATAGTGGCGAAGAGCATACCTATCCCGAACTTCAGACCCTGGATAAAACTCTCGATACGAAACTGAGTTCCGCGAGTTTACCCTCAGCGGCTACTTGTACGGGGTCATGAAAGTCGCCGACTCCCAAGTAGGCGTAGCGTCATCGCTACGAACTGGTCGGCTTCCTCCTTCCCGGTAGTCCATAACGACAGTATCGAATGTAGGGATAAAGCATATCACAACTTGACTTACAGCGTTTGAGTGGAACATAGGATTCTATAAATATCTGTGTACATGATCGCGTTAAGTCTTGTCTTCCCCACACAATCACTTTAGAATATTCTTGATCCACACGTTACACTCCTGGCCAAATTAATCCGGCCACCCACACTTTGTACTGCAAATCAGTCAATATTTGGCATTTGGGGGTGCGCTTTTGATATGAGTTTTCTATTGCTTAGAGAAAGAAGGTGTGTGTGTTAACGATCGGGATTTCGCAGTTTGAAGGGTAGCTCCCATACAATAAACCGATTTGGGCATGTGGTCCAAACTTTCGGCCACCCTCGCCTAACCCTTTCCATAGTAAAGTCAAAACAAATGTAACGAAATGATTGTACTAGTAATGCGTCTTATCTCCTCTCTTCTCAATGACTTCAATGCAGCGTCGAGGCATCGAGTCAATTAGCTTGGTCAGCGTAGGTTGCTCAATGCTATCCCATGCAGCTAATATAGCTATCGTTAACTCAGCTACGTTTGCATACTGTCGACCATTCAGGTAGACTATGCGCGCCATTATCGCCCATAGATTCTCAATGGGATTCAGGTCGGGCGAGCGAGCCGGCCAGTCAAGCAGCCTAATCTCCTGTTCATCAAAGAAGTCCACAGTCTCTCTCGAGGTATGTATGGAGGCATTGTCTTGCTGGTAAATATAATCTAAGCCATAATGAGCGTGCGCAAAAGGAAGCAAAAATTCAGACACCGTCTCGATGTAGTGGGCTGAGGCCTGCCTCCCAACCAACACAGCGAGCTTCGACCTACCCTTGAAACTGAATGCTCCCCAAACCATAACAGATCCACCACCGTTCTGCCGTCTAACGGTAGTCCTCGGATCACGTCGGATGTCTCTCCAGTAGTTGCGGAGTCCGTCAGGCCCATCTAAGTTGAATTTTTTTTCGTCCGAAAAAATGATGCGCTGCCAGCCCTCTTGCGGCATGACGACCATAGTTTTAGACCAATCGAGGCGGTGCGCCTTGTGAACAGCAGTTAACGGCAAGGTGCTCTCCATTTTGGTGTAGACTAGCCAGTCTACACCAGAAAGGAGACGCCGAATTGTGCGTGCCGATCCTTTGCACTTACACTCAACCTTGAGCTGCTCGGCGCTGTAGTCGCCCCTGGATGCCTTGCGCAGTAGAATCCGTGCGAGACGCTCGGATATGGCATTCCTCCGTCCAGGTTTCCGGCGTTTCCTTCGTGGCGACTCCAAGGCACGCTGGACTGCGTCACGGGACCTCTTGACCTTCCTTGCAATGGCTCTAACTGAGAGCCCTCCTTCTTGTAGTCCACGAATCCTCCCCCTCTCTTCGTCGGTTAGCCAAGCCGGCATTAATCTGCAAATTGGAAAGTAGTATGTGGAGAGCGAAGACACAAGTGAACCACTGCGCTGCGGCACAGCCACCACCACCACATTGGTTGGTCTACATGCTTTCCAATAGTACAATCATTTCGTTACATTTGTTTTGACTTTACTATGGATAGGGTTAGGCGAGGGTGGCCGAAAGTTTGGACTACATGCCCAAATCGGTTTATTGTATGGGAGCTACCCTTCAAACTGCGAAATCCCGATCGTTAACACACACACCTCCTTTCTCTAAGCAATAGAAAACTCATATCAAAAGCGCACCCCCAAATGCCAAATATTGACTGATTTGCAGTACAAAGTGTGGGTGGCCGGATTAATTTGGCCAGGAGTGTATGCATGGATCACTTTATTATAGTGGCAATCGCTCCGTACATAATGATGCCGCTGAATATAAAATCGAAGAAAGAACCGGATACTTTCCTGCGGACGCCAGTAAACATTATTATACCACTCTTGCAACTCTATGGAAATGCACACTTTAATTGGAGCCACAGGACTATAATAGCGTGTGTGACTTATGGCCACGCATGAACGACAGTGGTGGTCGAGCAGATTCGGTCAAAACCCATGATGACGATTTGCCACGTTTATCGGTCATCGGTAATTCGTTATTGCTGTTGAACCTGGCACATCATGAAAGCAATCAAAACGTTATATATTCGCCACTGCTGTTTGCGAATGCGTATTACACTTTGGCTCACCGAAGAAACAATACTCACTAGAACTTTTCTCACATAAGCACGATTTCAAGTGACTTGCGAACAAGCAAAAAGAAAATAATTTTAACTTATTTTCCTTTCCTAAAAAATAGTCGATTGACAGAAGTAACGAGTTGAGGCATTATGTGATGAAAAAGTGACTCGTTGAAAAATTCAGAAGTCACTGGTTTATAAAGTGTCCTCAAGTTTTACTCTATATCCGTGTGGAATGGAGAAGTACCAACAGTTTTTAAACCTACCAGGAATCGAGAGCGACAAACCCCCCTGCCAGTTTACTCTGCAGACTCGTGTTCAAGACTTACTACACACTAACGAATTGTTAGCGGTGTTTTACAAGCTTATTGAATTGCAACGCGCTCCTATATTTAAGGCTAGTCGTTTCAGAATTTTGCTTACCGATTGGCCTATCAAATATTCATCCATAAAGCTGGATTAGATTCTAAAACTGTGTGGCTTATGAGGATTCATTATCGTCGACTTACTGTATTTATAGTTATTGTGCTTTGCACACATTCTGTCTAACCGGTGTCCTAACTCGTTGTGTTAGCAAATCTTGAAAATAATCCAACATTGGTTTACCTACCGTAGTCGTCGGATTTACGTTGAATTACCATGTACTCGAAGAGTTAATGTTATATTATGCGTGTTTCCGTTGAGTGGCTGTAGTAAAAACGCCAAACCAACGTCGCGCACTCCAAGTATTTCTTAAGCCCGTGCAACTACATTCCAGTAGATGACAATTTCTATTGATATGCGTTGGAGAACGATTGTGCTGACCTACATCTACGACATTGGCCTAAGTGTCGTTGCGTCCGTTATAGGGGTCTCGACGCGGTCTATTTCTCGTTGGGGTTTACTGTTTCGTCGTAGTGGTAAGGTGATACCGAACACGCGAATTAGCACACACACACACAAACACACACGTAACAAATTAGAAAAAAGCATTCCGCTCTAAATGAGATAGTCCTTAGTTACTTACCGATTGGCCCGTGAAGGAGCAGGACAGTGTGCAGGCAAGCACTTGTTCAGGTCAACAAGCTGGGAAAGAAGTAGCCGGGCTTTGCCTTGTCGCTGTGGTTTTGCGTTGTAGCTGCAGTTTTGCTTTGTCGTCGGGTATGATTAACTTATTTTTAACGTTGGGTTATGTATTGTTTTAGATGCGCTCTTCATAAGCCAAATATGATGCAAAGCACAATATCCCAATTAATATATTATTAATAATAGCTCCGCCTAATCACTGTTTTCTTGAATGTTAAACTAAACAATCCAATGTCCTAGACTTAACAACCTAACCCCACTGACACACACTATAATATAATTTACAAACAGGAAGGTTTTGCAATATAAGTAGCATTTGTATCTTGGAGATAAATCGATTATAGTATGTATGCCTTGTGCTAAAACGATGTTTTAATGTTTACCATTCGCTGTTGACCACTTACGGAGATTGCAAGAGATCGAAGAATGATACTAAAAGTTTAACAAATTGCGATTACGTCCGCCACCAGCGTCCACTTCATACTCGACTGTCTGACTAAATGAACTTCAGTGCAATATTGGCAAATTTTAGATCGACTTCGTTTTCAGTGGATTTAAAAAACAAATGCTTTTCATACTGGTTTTGACAATCTTCGTGTGGTCCACATATTTCATGTCTGCCACACATTATACCCTTCGTCGTAACCAGTTGACCATGGCGACTCCGCTCGACACCAGTGCGTCCAGCTCGGCCGCTATTGCTGCGCCATCCGCCACTTCGGCCCCTACAGCGTCCTCTTCGCCCCCCGCACCTAGTGCCGCCGTTCACACTCCTCCCACGGTAGTAGAAACCGCGCAATCCACCGACAATGATCCTCAGACCGACCACGACGATTCCGAAGGGGCCAAGGCCGTCGCTGTGCCACGTTGTAGCACCTGGTTTGCCATGGACAAGATCAACCCCATCGAGAAGCGCATGTTACCCGAGTTTTTCGCCGACAACGCCTCGAAAACGGCCGAGATCTACCTCAAATACCGCAACTACATGGTGCACGCCTATCGTCAACAACCGGGCGTGTACTTGACAGCTACAGCCTGTCGTCGCAACTTAGCGGGCGACGCGTGTTCCATCCTGAGGGTACACGAGTTCCTGACCCACTGGGGGCTCATAAACTTCCACGTACCGCCGCATGCCATGCCCCCCTCCATCCACTCCAATTACGCCCTTAAAACCGCCCAAACCACTGCTAATAGTGACGAATTGGGACCTGTAGCCATGCTGGTAGCTGCTAAAAAGGAGAATGCTCGTCGGATGGACACGCCTCTGGCTTGTGAGGCTTGTGGCACTGCGAGAGGACCGGAGGATTCGTTCTTCGAGCTCACTACTGAAGCCAAGAAGAAGTTCACAAGCAACGGAGCGTCCAATGCTAACAATGCGACGTCTATGACTACTGGAGCCAATGGGAAAGCAGGTGAAGGCAAGGAAGTGACGGTCGGAGGCTTTGCCTTGAGACCAGGCAGTGGCATCTGCGAGGAATGTTACATTCGAGGAGCATTTCCGGAGGGTTACGACTCCTCAGACTTTATACTGATGCCCACAGTGGCAAAGAACCTCTCAGCTGCAGCCAAATGGACGCAAGAAGAGACCAATCTGTTACTGGAGGCTGTAAGCAGCACCAGAGCTAACAGGGTTAAGAGCTCGGAGAATGAGGACGAAGGAAGCTGCGACTGGAACTTTGTCGCGTCCAAAGTGGGCACCAAGACGGCGGACGAGTGTTTGTTGCATTTCTTGGAGATGCCGATGCTTAACCAGAGTCAAGAACTGGGAAACTCTATCCAGTCTTTAAGGCCTTTTACCGCTGGGGAGGCTCTGAATGCGCCCGTGTTGGACTTGGCAGCTCTAGTGGAACAAGTGGACCCGTTGGTGGCCAAAGCTGCGGCCCATGCGGCGATCGGAGCCATTAAAAGGCTGCATACGATGCCAGCTAAGTCTAGCGCTGTTAAAATCGAGACAGCGTCGAAAACTGATGCCTCCAGTACGTCACTGGAAGCTGCAGTGGATGCAGTAGCTAGCAGTGCTGAGGCGGCAGGAATCGCGTCTATTAAGTCAGAAGATGTGGCTATGGCGGACGTGTCTACTGCAACCGACTCGACTGTAGAGGGCAAGAAGGATGCGTCAGTGTCGAAGGAGATGATCGCAGTCACTGAAGAAGCTGCGAATGCGACGACAGTTGCGTTACTGGCCACACGAGCGCAGAAGGTGGCGGAGGAGACGGATAACGGACCCGTTCGAGATCTAGTGAACCAATTGTTGGAGAACCAGTTGAGGCAGATGGAGCTCAAGATGAAGCAGCTAAGTGTCCTGGAGCAGAGTATTGTAGCGGAGAAAGAGCAGCTGGCGAAGGAGAAGTATCAACTCTATGTGGACCGACTAGCGTTCTCCAAGGAGAAGCTAAACGGCCGATCGTAGCTCAAACATGATCTGGTTGCACTAATCTGAGGTTAAATAATAACAACTGTCGGTTAGTGCGAAATAATAGATTTGGGATTATTCTAGGTAAGCTACTGGTAGTAAGACATGGTGGAAGCGATGGACGCTCGAGCTCTTGTGTCGGAGAGAGAGAATGGTTTGCAGCCAGTGCCAGGGACTATAGACGCTCCAGCATGCGTCGTGCGAACAAAGGTAACAATCTCTTGGAGCTGTGTTCACTATGAAATGCTTACTGTATGTCTTGTAGAACGATCAAATTGTGTTGGACGCGCTGACAACTCCCGTCACGAATGTAAAGAGTGTGGATCTGCGCAACTTTAACCTGGATCAACTGAGTATGGAGCAAGTAGACTCGCTATTCAGTGGCTGCAGTGCTGAATGCCAGAGTCTGTCATTGGAAAAGTGCACGCTGTCTGGTGATCGATTTTTCGCTATAGCTACAGACCGATTGAACCGAAATCGTGTCAAGTTGGTGCATTTTCGAGTACAAAGGTGAGAATTACTTGAGGATTGAGAGACTTATATACACTTAATTATGTGTTGTCTAAGCTGCCAGCAAGTGACGATGACTTCGCTTATTGCTATATCGACCCTTTTCACTTCGTCACTGGTGACACTGGAGCTCTCATCTTGTAAGCTATCGCGACAAGCTGGGATCATCTTGAGTCAGTCGCTTCAATCCTGTACATCGTTAAGACACCTTCTATTAGCAGACAACAACATCCGCGACGGTGGCGTACGTGCGATCGCAGATGCATTGAAGCTACTCAACGCGTCACGGAATAGTGCCGTGTCGGTTGTACTAGGCAAAGACGAGGATTCTTCACCGATACTGGAACATTTGGACATTTCTCGAAATGGAATCACCTCTGCGGGTTTTGCCTCTTTATTGCAGCTCCCACTGCGATATTTGAGTGCTCGAGGCAACGCGATAGAGAACGGAGTTGGCGCCTTGTTGCTAAGCAACGCATCGACGTTGGAGACCCTGTGTTTACTAGGGAATCCTCTATCAGAGGACGGCAAACTCGAGTTGGTACGCTCGCTTTTTCGACGTCGTGATAAAACAGGCAAAAGTGCATTACGTGAGCTCGATCTTCGCTCATGTGGCTTCAACACTATAGAGAGTCTAGACCTGCTACAACGTAGTTTTCTCCAAGCAGCAACTGCGGGTCAGCAATGCTCTATTCAATCGCTATATCTGGACAATAAGATATCTACGGATGAAGATGCAGATGAGAAGGATTTTCAAAGAGGCTGTGAAGCTTTAAAAGAAGTGGCTAAGACAAATTTTCTCGGTCTACGACTTCATTTCCAGTCAGATCACATGGACATATTACCAAGAGCGAGAGCTCAAGCAATAGCGAGCACGACTAAGCCTAAAGCAACTTCGACAACGAGAACGTTGAACCTGAGTAGTGAACTTGAGGCGGTGTCAATAGCGACGAAGACCAGTCTAAACGCCACGTTAGCTTCGTCTTCGTTATCGGGTCAGCAACGGGAATTACGGGCGGAGTACGCCTGTCATAATGAATCGGTCATTATTCATCCTTTAGCTACCGACACGCTTAGAAAACCGACTGCTATAGTAGAAGCGCAGTCAATTCAGCCGTCAAGTGTATCAAACGCAACGATGCGAGTTGAGCCTGTAGCTCCACTTCCAATGCAGCACGTCGATGTCGAGTACATCGTCAGCAAGACCATCGAGTGCATGAGCCACAATTTCGAGCTACGTCTTGGCCAATTACTATCACGAATGGAGACGCAGCAACAAGAACGAGTACGTCAAATGAGATTCATTAAACTAGCTCACATCTAACTTTATTGTTGTACAGAATTCATCACAAGTGCAGTTGTTAGCTGCTAAAGTGGAGGCTTGCGAGCGTGCGTTGCCACGGTTAGAGGCACGTCTGGATATGTTGACAGACCGAGTAGCAGCGGGCAGTGCACAGTTGTCAAAGTTGCAGTCTGACGTTGCACTTCAGCTTCAGCATATCCGTCAGGAGGCACTGACACAGCAGATGAATCCGTACAATGCTAACCCCACGCAGCTCTCGCCTACTGTTCCGATGACGTCTCGGATGCAGTCACAAGTAGAAGAGCTGGTTTCAAGTAGAGTACAAGCCAGTGAACAGCGCTTGTACGCAGACGTGGATCGAATCCGTACAGCACAGGCCAATGCGACGCCAGACCCGCATGCAGTCGTGAATGCAGTCTCGATGCACTTGACGCAGTTTAAGCGGGAATTTGACGACAATCAGGCTGGAGTACTGCGTCAGTTTACTGAAAAGATGAGCTCGGATGGTCGCGGACTGGAAGAACGCATTGAACAAGTTGAGGCTCAGATCGGCAGCCTTGAAGTTGTCATCCAGTCAGAGCAACAAGCATCTCTTTTAGCTCTAGAGGCAATTTCGGACGCTTTCAATGATCCTGCTGCATCCGTTTGCGCAAAGAAGACGTAGCGCAATATCATAAAAATGTATATATTCTGCTATGACATTTGTTATACTTTTTTGGCTTAACAAATCCATGTTAACATTAAAATCCAGCGACAAAATGCGGAGTAATGGATAAACGTATTTAAAAGAACAGGTCATAATACTGGGAATTCCTTTAGGCATGGACAGCCCTCAACGGATAAATTCCATGGTACTGCGTAACTCGCTCGATGTCACCTCGCTCAACATCCAGCTGACTTCGAAATGTAAGCTAAACGTTGAGCAAAAGTAGCATGTTTAAAATATATTTTGGCGTCGGGTTGTCTGTATCTGATAGTTCAGGCTATTGATCTTTGGTCGCGAATTCTCGCAGGATTGCTAGCCACGCATTTTCTCTTTGTGTCGGCGTGTCGAAATCTAAGCTCGAGAGGAATTAACATCTCCGTGCATCCGGCGGGGGCATTTCGCGAGCCAAAGAGTGACTACTCTGTCGCTTTTAAAGGTTCGTTCATACAATTGGTAACGTCAACGAATTTATCAGTATAAACTACCCCGGAAGGCAGCCTAAGCGCAAATTATCAAATTGCCAAGACGAAATACCAAGAGAAAAGCTAACAGATAGAATTTTTAGCGGAATTCGTTCATCATTGCATATTTTTCTATCGGTTTGACCCAGATTTAACCCTTACAGATTGTATCGCACCGCATGCCGTTGATGCCTGCGAAGCAAGCATTGACACTCAAAGATCAATACAAGGTTACCTCAAAGCATGATCTACTTGCACTCTCCGCAGGGTCATCGCACTAGCAAAATGGTTGGAAGGGCAAGTTGAGATTACAAATATTTTATCGAGAACCCAACATCTCAAAAACTACGCGATTTGACCTATTTCGCCGTTGTATTTTGCGGCTGATACGGCCCGTGAACAACCGACGAAGTCTTGCTAGAATGTACAGGAGTAAATATGTTATGTATGTACTGGATAATATATGGAAAACGTCATTTTATACCCGACCAAATGGCCTTATAATAATGCTTCCTGCAATCTGATTCGTTCTATTACCACCGGGATTGGCGCGTCGATTGATATTTGGAGCATGTCAAAAGTTGTTGGAGTGTTGGTCTACTAGAAGTGTAGCTAATTGGAGCCGTTTTTCCTCTTTCTTTTTCTTTAAATGTACTACTAGTAGCTTGTATTCCATAGCACGAGAGCATGTTGTTGTTCATTGGTCCGCTAGTATCTTGGTGGAGCCTGCAGAATAAGGGTTCTACTAACAGGTATTTATGTTGTATTAAGTACATTCAACTATGCACGTGACTGAATCTGATATCTATCTTGAAACAAAGTGTATTCCCACCTAAGCCGAAGACGACCTAGTTTAGCAAAGTTTGAAACGCCTATTCCGACTCCCCTTTCAGCTCTGATATGAATCTCAGAGAGCAATCGAACTGTGAAGCGGGCGTAATAACGGCCTGCAAATGAAAATATACTGGATTGCTACACTGCTGTTGTGTCATTCTTAGTTAGTTTTTCGATTAACACCACAACCACGCCAAGGTGGCTGGCTAGTACATGAATGCACTATATACTACCATTTGCGCCATATCTTTATCGCGAGTCTTCTTTGCCCATTACCTGCATTGTTAAACATTGTGTATTCCCTCCCAACTGGGTGTTGCTGGAGTCTCTCCATTTGTTAACCCTTTCGCGATAAAAGGAAGCAGAAGGTCGTTATGGGCATAGAAAAACCAAGCAAATCACACTTGGAAGATTTGAAGTTGGTCCATCCCTCGCCTTAAAGGAGGCAAAATGCCTCCTTTTGATACCGTCTATCCTAGATTTGTATACTATAGTTCACTAAAGTGGCTTGCGAAAGGGTTAAGTCATTAAAACAACTGTTACGAAATGCTCAAGAAACCATTGGTCTATCACACGCTCTTCGTATTCATTGTGTTGTTTTTCAGTGGTTTACTTGTTGCTGCTACTCTGGCGACTTTTTGTCTCTTCGTGTCAGTTGGCAGCACACGAACAGAAAAAGATGAAAGCGAATCTCGATTTCGTCGACAGGGGGTGCTAATCATTTTCTGTTGCTCGATTTTTGGTTGATCTGTTTGCACTAGATTTGTAGGAAAAATGTTGCTCACTCTGAATGTCTGTTTTAGGTTTGTTGCACCGAAAAGCGACACAATGTCAGTGCTGAAAAAACTGTTAAAGGGGGGGGGGGGGAGTATGCAATCTATGAAGTACTGTTGATGGATTAAATGAATATACTAGCTTGTTCTTCTGCGTAAGAGGCGCTAGAGCTGAATGCATATCTTCTTGCTGTGTTCCAAGCGAATTAGCTCGGCGAATTGCGTGAGCTAGTCCTTCAACTTGGTATTCTAACGAGTCTCCATGGACAAAAGCAACGCTCCAGATATACACTCCATCCGTTTCCGACAGTCGACATCGTGCTACTTGACCCACTTATAAGTCTTTTTCATTTTCAGTGACGTCAAACTCTTGCATTACAGGCCATTTTAATGGTCTTCCGGGATTGTTTTTAAACTGCTCTATTAGACGGTCGACGTCATACAATTACGTGTGCACAGGCCCAGCTTGTGTGCATGTAACTTTTGCAGGTGCAGCGCAGAGAATTACGAACCGCCAGGATCTGTAAAAAACAGCAAACAGTTAATGTGAGTTTAACGATATTAAGTAAAGCAAATCAATCCTTCCTCACCTCATCATAGTTCCACTTAGCTCGTAGTACGAAGGAGCTCAAGTCTTCAATCCGACTCTATGACCTGCCGCATAGATAGGAATTGCAACTTTGCAGTTTCGATGGACTCCTCTTCGCCTAGATTTCCCGTCAACGATTGCTTGAATCTATCACGTACAACACCACCAGTTAGTTTTAATATTTGACGACAATTACATTGACCTACAGTTTGGTGCGCTCCGTTGTCACTTTAGCGGCTGCTAAGTTTTGCCTCTAATTGCATCCCCATGGTGCTCTCGCTCTTCAAGAAAGTTCTGGTACGCTCACTGGTTTTAGCTTTGGCGACGCGATGGTTACGGGGGCAAATCAACTCGTCCTTTTGCTTTTGGATTTTAGCGGCCCTGCATACAAACACATAACTTTTTAAACCAAGTTTGGGACAACACTTATCATATGTTCGTTTACCTTCTGCAAAATGATGGTGCTGGTCGAATGTAAGGTTGGTCGCGTCATAAAGAACCACTCTAGGCAATACAGAGTTCAACTCAGTTACTGTTGGTATCGTCTTGTAACCTGTAACGATGACTTTAATCACGCGATGATAACCTTCAATGGGCTGATGGGTGGGCAAGAAACCTGGCATCGATGCTCCAACACTCCCAGCGTGGGGTCAAGTAGACATGTTGGAGCCACAAAGCCGAATCATACTCACTGTGCGATTCCCAAGCCTTTATAACTCGCTCGGACAATGCTTTGAATTACTTCAACAAACGGGACTGGTTAAGTAGTCGAATGTGAGGTTGACAAAGTCTTTGATGAGCCCCTTTCTTTCTGAAGCCTGGTTTGCTTGTGACACTGGCGAAGTAGACGCTCATACCACGGGAGGATCTCTACACGGGGCCACACCAGCTCGAGCGCAGGCGCAATTGCATCCGAGTGCTCAATGCTGAAGCTACGAATGTTGGCGTCCAGTTCGAAAAACAATTTTGCATACCTCACCAAAGCACGAAACATTCGCTCGTACGAAAGCTTACACTCAATACGAACAAACATGAAAATCCAAGGGCGAATACGCTGAACGTAGTCTGGGTCAACAAAAATTCCACCGCAGTCTACTGGTGTCCATCCTCCCAAATAGATCGTTTAGGTTCCATCTGTCGATAGAACTAAAGTATCATCTTGATCACGAACTGAATGGCGAACATTTTGAAAAAGCAACCTCGACGTCACCACCATTCCAATTGAAGGCATCGATACTCCCGCGATGTCGACGAATATTCGAATTCATCCAAAACTATCATCTCCCTCATTTCAGCAACATTGTTTTCATCTGCACGAAAATTTTCATCGCGGTCCTGGCAAAGCCTGCTACTTGTCCAGCTTCTTAAGGACACAAATTTACTCATTTCCCAGCCCTCGACAGTCTTTTTTTTTTTGATGCGATTTTCGTTTTTTTTTTTCTTCGTGTCGGGTATCATGGCGAGCATGCCTGGATCGTGAAGGTACGTAAACATCATCATATCGCGAACATGACCAGCTAACATCCCAAGTTTTTGTAGCGCGTCGATTTCTGGTTAATGACGGGAGATATACCTCTCGCCCGTAAGTTAACAACGGAACCGGTATGCTGACCTTTCTGAAGGACCAGGAATCGCATTCCTAACTCGTCGTCTTGGTGTCCGATGAGCTTAATGCTGTCGCGGCAGTCTTGATGTGATCGACACAATACTCCTTACCCACATGAAATGTCGATGTATATCTAGTTATGTATGTGTTTACGAATTCATTCAAGCGATGAAGGTTTCTCTCGGCGTCTTCCTCATTGTCAAAGTAGCCGACGCTGACGTAAGCAAATACCTCAGCACAATTATTGATATCTGCAGACGTGGAGGCTACTGCATCACTGTCGCTGAGTCGAGAGAGGAGTCTGAGTCTTCTTCTCCGTCTCCAACATCGTTTCCAATAAGGGCGGCGACTGCGATCACAGTTTCAGTCACGTTGCTGACGAAGTCGACCGCAGAGTGATCGACGACGTCCACATCTTCTTCTACCGAGCCTCTAGCACTGTGCATATCTACGTCAGATAAACTTGACCGCTGTAAGTCTGCGTCGCCGCCCACATCGTTGTGTTTCAGAACCTCAGTAGTGTCGCTATCATCGCTTAAGGATGTGCCTTCCGTCTGCATGTTGCGTCAGACTTTGCAGTGCCTGTGTGGTGGGAGAGTGCTATTCGAGACTGTCTCAATTCCGACGGATGGTACTAAAAATAAGCAACCGGCTATTAGCTGAAGTTATGTTCGTGGTGAGGGCAATAGACAATCATTGCCTTCCAACAGCGGTTCAGAAAGAATAACATCTATTCATGCAAATTAAACACCAACAGGTCAATCAGTATTTGAGCGACACAAATTAGATTATTCCCTTCGACATCGTTTCGAGGCTAGATGAAGCCACCGCAGTTGTTGCTACAACAACGGCAAGGCTAGAGTAAAACTCAAGTGAGCCATCGTATCTTTCAATGGAATTGGAGCAGAATAATGTGGAAAGAAAAATGTCAAAATGTTTTGTCAAGACGGCAACAAACAGGAGCTGGTACGCAATGAGAAACATATACAAATTGTGGCCGTCCGACAGATTACTGAAAAAAATAAAACATGGTGTAAAGGGTTTTCACTTCCCCTACACGCCGGGATTGGCCGTCCAGTACTGATGCACCCAAGACCCGAATGGCCGACTATGAATAACTCTATTAGTTGGATTAGTTAATCTTCGGGTCGTTCAGCCAGATAACCAAAACCGTTCACCGCGTTCGCTTGGGGTCAACTGACCGTACGCCTACTTTATTATCGTTAACAATTCATGTGCAAACAACACCCTCTATGAAATACACTCGAACCAGCCGCAGTCCAATGAGTTTCCAGTGTTGCCCACTGAGTCACTCGGGCTCAGCACGCACTTAGACGCCACCCTACTGCGCAACCCACAGCAGATTCGAGAGTATTCTACCTATTTAAACTCCTCATCCGACTGTACTCGGTCCTTGTCCACCTAAGCGCCGCCCGCCCGTCCGTTTTTACACTCTCATTCGCTTCACTGAGCTTGAGCAACACCCCGCCCGATCCATATTCATAGCTCACAATCTCCACTATGATGCGTCCCAAGTCCTTTGTGTTTCACGCCGCCAATCTCAAAGTAAAGTTCCACTGGCCTCACTACCGTCCAGGCGCCCACCGTATCCTTTGAACTTAGACACGGAAGACACGTGCCTGCGTCCTTCACCACTGTAAGCCCGGTACAACACTTCACCGCTACCGTGCGGCTTCTCCGACCTGCCTAGCCCTCCTTTTCGTCTACCGCCCATCCTGTTGTGTACGCGAAGAGCGAGCCCCCGCAATTGATCCTGTCGCCGCCGAAGTCGTCTTCCTTACCGTACACGTCTGCATCGTCGTACACGTCGAACGAGTCTTCGTATTCGGTCGTGTCACTGAATTCGTCAGTTTACAGTCCTCGCTGGTAGCACCATACTCGCTGTATCACCGTACATGTCCGCTCCATACCTGTTGCACTGGTGAGTGAAGAGAAACTAATGCGAAAGTAGGAGGGATCCTGTATGTCTGTCTAGTCAGAGTTGAATATTATCTAGATTCAGATGCAGAGCTATTAATAGCAACACTTAGATAGAGTCAAGTTGATTAATCGAAACTGGGACTAGAGCCATTATCATGCCACCAAGCTTTTTCGTAAGCAATTGACTTGATCAGGCTCTTAAAAACGATAACTACATGCTTCTAAAAGCTTTCCTGCACAATTTTGCTATTCTGGGTCCGAAAAGGGTTTGCTCATAATTTCACTGTAGTACCACTCGAGATGCTCTAAGACTCAGTAGCAACTACGTTAATCTTAAAAAAAAGTCAGAACACACTTTCTTTTTCTCATGGTATCTACTTGAACGTTTTCGAACTTGTTACTTCACTGACGAAAATTGTTATTGATATTAATGAACATCAAATTGTAAGAAAACTATATTCCCAAGGTTTTCGAAACCAGTTACCGTTGTAGTTATCTAGGCCTAGACATGGGGAACCCATTTCCTGAAACAAAAGCCACTTTTTATTTTGAAAATGGTTCCTTAGTTTATCCGATAGAAATCGTGGTTTTCATCCATTTTGACAAAACGGGTCGAAAGGGATCCGGTATATTGGGGACACGTTGCTGAGGGTATCCGAAATAGGCAGTAGACTAAGACAAGCTGGCTATTTCAGGCCCGAAATGTCACTGTGAGCTCAGAATTGTAAGGCAGGGACCAGAATTGCCGCCTTTCAAGGTGAAGTGATTGGCCCAAACTCATTTCCGAAGGATTTCTCCGTTTACCCATATATCTATGACTATAGAATTCACCCGCCACAGACAATAATAATGACACTCACTTAGGCGACGGCGCTGCTGTAAAGTCAATATTTTAGTTGGTACTTACTCTTCTATGACTTTAACTCAACATGCTACACTATTGGAAATAAAGCCAATAGCCTTATAGTATGGAATGACGTCCCTCTGACACTTAAGTCTCTAAATTTGATCAGATATAGCTATATCGAACTACTAACCCTAGCCACTATCATTTATATTGAATTTGGCCTCCGAGATAGGAAGGCAAATCGAGAGGCAAAATTGTTGAAAACCACGATAAAATGTAGAATACTTTTCTTTATCCATTATTTACAGATTCATCTGTCATCAGTGACTAGGTGTGTGCAGGGTTCGCCGCATCGCATTTCAGGTATTTTTTTGCAAGGTTGATAGTGTGGCGAGGGTGGAAATAAGCAGGCTTATTAAGGAGACGCCGGCTCGGTAACCAATTCCGGTGAAAGTCCTGAGCTGGAGCTTTATGTTATCGTCAGATCGTACTTGTCTCAACTTTGACCTGGTGATTTCATCGCGCACAATTAGAGGGACTTCTGTACGAATGTATTCATCATGCTTGATTATGCACTTCATCGCAACCAAGACAATGCCTGTCAGGTCATCACCCTAATTCCAGTGTAAGCATGATTACGCAAAAGCATTGTACTCCAACTGATGTGAAACATTTTAATGTATGTATACTTTTGTATGTGGTATTTTGTTTTTCTATGCTTTTGTGGTAAGATCTTCGCGTGTGTCGGAAAAGGCTAGAGTAGAGTACTCTTTTTGCTGTTGCTATACTCGGTGTTCTGGAATGAAACAGAGTCTGTAGCTTGGTTGGGTTCCTAAATTTTTCCGTTGTTCGTTCCGTAGACTATCTGGAATAGGGGATTGGCTAGTAATACCTCTTAGATAGGTGAGCAGATATAACGGGGTATTTGTAGGGGAAGGTGCACACAACGGGAAGGGCCTCTGTAGTCACACAAAAAGAAATATCGTCAAGCAGGTGGCAGCAGTTTACGCTCGAACTGGGGTATGGAAATTTGATCATAATCAAAGAAAGCGACCGGGGAGCTGTACAGGCACTTGGCAACTTACTCCAAGATGAGTTCAATCTACTGGATCATGTGGCTCTACTCGCTGTTAGGTACACTCGCGACACTGTTGGTATGCGTCGAAAGTGCCTCGATATCGGCTACTTCCGACCCGGATACGTTTCAAGAGCTTTCTCTAAAGCCTGAAGGTGCTGCAACCGATAGACTACTGAGATCTGCTGATACTAGCGACGAGCTAAGCGAGAACAGAGTGACGAATGCTGGCATCGAAAAAATCACGAATCTGTTCAAGACGGGAGTAACAAAGACTAAAACGTCGGGACAGCATTCTGCAGATGAGATTCTTAAAAAGTTCAAGCTTGAGAATGGAATAGAGGAGGCTCTGGTCAGTCCTAACTTGAAGGCTATGGAGGATTACGTTAAAGACCTGAATTCGAAGAATCGCTTTAAGAAAACGTCCATGATTAGGTTATTCACGAAGTATTATGGAGACGATGTGGTGGCGAAAGCGCTCTCGAAGGTACAGGGCAGCGCGCATTCTGCGGATGCTGTGGATACGATCAAACAGCTACGAATGGAGCAGCTAACAGCTTGGCTAAAGAGCAAGAAGTCCGTCGATGATGTTTTCAAACTGCTGAAGCTGCGTGATGATTCTCTAATGGCTTTTGTCAGCCCAAAGATGGCGATGTTGGATGACTACATCAAGCTATTCAACCGAGAAAAATCTAGTGGCAAAACTTTGGCGAAGACGTTGGTGACTGGATTTGGAGAAAGCCAATTTGTATCTCTTCTGCAGCTTGGACTGAAAAACTCATACACAAAAGATCTGGCCACGTCATTGGAAACCGAGTTAGTAAATCTGTGGCTGGCAAGCAAATTCAAACCTGGGGACATAATGAAGAAGCTCAAATTGGACGAGGATATGGGACTTGCTCTTGCCAACCAAAGCCGGCAAAGTCGCGAACTTTTGACACGATATATTTCGGTTTACAACCAAAGGTATCCGAATAGTAAGACGTCGTTGGTTGCGACATTTACTGCTCGATATGGAGATGATGTGGTGGCGGAGACACTCTACATGGCGCGACAGGCACCTGACTCTAAAAGATTGGCAATAGATCTGCAGAAACAACAGTATATGGAGTGGCAGAATAGTGGGATATCAGCTGATGATGTTTTTAAGGCTCTGAAAGTTAAAGTTGAAGATTTCGCAACCATCATCAGCCCGAAGTTAGAGAGCTTATATGAGTATATCAAGATACTCAAGACCAACGATCTCCGAGGAGCACCCGATGATTTCACGGTTGTAAGAAGTGGCCTTGGTGGGGATGGAGATCTTGCGCGCATGCTCGTTAGGTCGTTTACCGTGTCAGACGCGCTCAACATGGATGCTGCTTCCTCTATGGCCACGGTGTACGAGAAAAAGTTGTTTAAACGATGGACCAACGACAGCATTGAACCGAAAACTATCTACAGCAAATTTCTCAATGTGGAAGAGACTTCTGCGAATACTTGGGAAAAAGCGTTTGCATCCCGGTACGCGTCATACTTCGAGAAAAAGAAGTTTTCTTCAAATCTCGTTAACTTCAATGACCCTAGGCGCTTATAATTACTGAGAAGCAGTGTAGATGCTAACAGGATAATATATCTTTCTCAAATCCGCTGGGCGCTTAGTACAAGTATGGGGGGATGTTTGTGATATTTGTGTGTATTTTTTGCGTACCGGTCTTATGGTACCGGAGACTACTACAACTTCACTGGTACAGGTTGTTGCCGCACTGTGCGGGTCCGATTCATGGTAGCAGTGATGTTGTAGTCATCGTTGAAGCGGAAAGCCTGCAAGGCCACGCTAATGTGTATTTCCCCCCCCCCCCCTCCAAAAAAAAAAAAAAAAAAATCGCTGAGGTTTCCCAATACAACATGTGTAGATTAGTATGGTGACGGTGCAAACTCCTCTGAATTGTCGCCCGAATGCATGGTATATCCTTCAGAACTGTATGAAAATGTACTAGTTTCTTAGTTGATTGTAACATAGGCATCGTAGAGCGAAATCAAGTACTACAGATGGTAAAGTTATGAGCGCAGTGATCGGCTTCGCGAAGCTGATTACTGCGCTTATTCTGCGGAGAAAAATGTTAGCGTTTGTGGCCTATTGGCATGCTTTAAGGCCTTATTTTGCGCTCTGGGCTTCTGCCCAGTCGATGGTTCATTCCAGACTCACCAAGCTAGATAATTGCATCCAGTATCTGTATATACTTCACCGAGTTCCTCAGCGCCTACCGCTGAACATCATGAGGTTAACTAACCTGTACGGTGTTCAGAGATGATCTGTAGATTATGTAGGCTATGCCTAATAGTAGCGTTCTGGTGGTCATCTTGGGTTAGTTTTTCTCAAAGAGCGTTGTCTTAGATACTTTTGTAGTATAACTGGGAGATGTTCGATCTCGAAGACGCCGACAGGCAGTGTTCCTCCGAGGGAGAACTTGATCAATTTCTGAGCGAGTGCGACTTCGTGGTTTACCGCGTGTGTGTTTCTTGAAGGTCTCCTAATATTACCTGAAACTCAGTCGACATTTTGGAACGATATAATATCTGTGGTGCCCTAAAGGATACTCCGTATCCCTCCCGGTATAAAATGCTACAGAAGGAAGGTCTGTTTAGTATTAATAGAAATGTTTTTGTGTTATATTAATCTGCTGGTCTAATACGTAGAGCTAAAATAATATTCTTTTTCTTTCGAATAAACATAGGCCAACATTTCGATTATGACTAAAAAATCCAGAGCTTTCCCATGCAAAGCACGGCATTGTGTAGGACATTCAATTTTGGATATATAAAGGGCTGGAATGTATAGTATCTCATTCTATTCACCCCAAAGCGTCCTGAAGCCTTCGATACAAACGCACACTTGATGTGTTTTCTCGCCAAACTGATACTTCATTGTTTTTTTTCGTCTCAATGAATTAATTTGGTAGTTTTTACCGTACGAATGAATAAGAGGCTAAATCAGCCCGATCACATTTATAAGTACTGCATAATGACTGTATGACTCCGCAGTGCTCCTAAATTGTGAAATCGGCGCTTAAGCAAGCGAGAATGACCAGCAAAAGGATATGTGCACGAGTTGTAGAATGTTTGGCTTCAAACTTCCAATACTAAAGCAACTGTACTATAATATACTCATGATGTGATATTTTACTAGACATAATACTAAGTGATGTACTCTACTATATTAAAGCAGAGTACATCACTTAGTATTCTGTCAAGTAAAATATTACACCATGAGTATTAGTTATCAGTAATACAGTACTTAAATAATACAGTCTCCAAAATAATCTTGTTTTTTGAATATTACTGTTGCTGCCATTAGCAAAGCTTTCTACAGTACTAATACACCAAAATTGTATTACTTCTGCTAAGTCCAAGTACAGTAATAAGTTGTATATTTGATTGACTGCTTCGTAAATGCTTATGCCGCTATCTGCTACTTGAGGCCCGTTGCCTTAGAGCCCCGACACATGCAATTTGGACAGGAACGGAGCTACAACCTCACAGATAGCGCCGCTACGCACGAGGTCCAGCACAGCGTCAATGTCGGGCTTCATGAAGCGGTCCTTGTCGAACTTAGCCACACGTGTGCGCACCAGTGCATGGACGGCCTCAAGTGCCTCCGTCGTACGCAGCGGACGCATCAAGTCGAGAGCTTGGCATGCCGCAAGAATCTCAATAGCAACAACAGTCTCCACGTGCTCCACAACCGTCAGCGCCTTGCGAGCAGCAAAGCCTCCCATGGACACGTGGTCCTCCTTCGCTCCACTCGTAGAGATCGAGTCTACCGACGACGGGTGAGTGAGCACCTTGTTCTCCGACACCAGAGCGGCAGCCGTACAGTGAGCAATCATGAAGCCTGAGTTGAGTCCACCCTCAGGCACCAGGAAAGCCGGTAGATTGCTCAGCGTAGGGTTCACAAGACGCTCGATACGACGCTCACTGACACTAGCAATCTCGTGGATGCCAATAGCCAGGTAGTCCAGTACCTTAGCCGGGTATTCACCGTGGAAGTTGCCGCCAGAGATGACGAAGCCACCGCCACCACGGTAGAACGTGTCCGACGTGCGCTTCATACCCGCAGCGGGGTGTTCCACAGGCTTGTTCTTCTGTTCGACAAGAGCTTTCAGGCGCTTGATCTCCTCCTTCGCGTCATTAAGGTCCGTGATCTCGTGCTCAACCTTCTCAACGTCGGGCTTCACCTCATTGGTATCAATAGACGGAGACAGGTCGGTTGTCACCTCAGCACTGCCCGTGAAGACCATGGGGTTGTCTGTGGCACTGTTCATCTCAACATCCAGCACGCCACGCACGAAGTTGATGGTGTCGTGCACAATTCCGTGCACCTGAGGAGCGCAACGCAGAGTGTATGCGTCCTGCACCTTTCCTTCGTAGTTGTGGCTACGGAAGAGCTCGGACGGGTTGTCTGCACGCAGTAGTGTGCGAATACGCGAAGCTACCAGCATCTGGCCAGTGTGAGGGCGAACAGCGTGGATACGCGGGTGGAAGGCGTTCACGGTACCGCACAGCACCTCCAATGTAAGCGCTACGGCAATATCAGCGCAGTTAGCCACGTTCTGAGCGCGAACAACCGCCTCAGCTCCCACAGACGTGATGAGCTGCGTGCCGTTGATCATAGCCAGACCTTCCTTGGCTCCGAGCTGCACAGGCTTCAGTCCGTGCTTACCCAGGACCTTAGAGGCCTCACTGACGACGAACTCGCCGTCCACTTTGTCCCACATGGGTCCTTCGCCCATCATACCGAGTGCAAGGTGAGCCAGCGGAGCCAAGTCGCCTGACGCGCCCACGGTGCCTCTAGCCGGCACCACAGACAGACAATCGGCGTTAAAGGCGTCCACGAGCTGCTCCAGAGTCTGCACGCGGATGCCTGAGTGTCCCTTAGCGAGTACGTTGATACGCAGGGCCAGCAGCATACGCGTCTGTGCGGGTGTCAACGGCTCGCCCGTTCCAGACGAGTGCGAGCGGATGAGGTTCTCCTGCAGCTCCGTGAGCTTCTCGGGGCCAATGATGACGTTGGAGAAGAGCCCGAAGCCCGTGTTGATACCGTAGGCTACCCGCGTTTTGTCCTTGAGGATGTTGTCCACCACCTCACGGCCACAGGCCACGCGCTTCCAGGCTTCCTTACTCAGAGAGATGCTCGTGTCTCCCTTGGACAGCTGGACCAGGTCTTCAGCGCACAGAGATTCGCCGTCCAGCACGAGCTCGGACTTCTTGGTGTGGTTACCGATGGCCATGACGACGGAGATGAACAGGAGTTGGAGAGAGGCGCGTGCTCGCTGCCGAGGCAATTGTAAAATGATCTCAGCAAGTGGCGGATGTTAAGCATTCGAGTGCATGTTCTAGTTGCTGTTGCTGTTGTTGGGGATGGGTTTTCCGGTGACGTCGGGCAGTGACGCACCGTCTACACCCCTTCACGAACCAATCAGCGTGGATAATGTACAGAATTGTAATTAATCAGTTAATGAAATAACTGCAATCAGTAGAACAAGGCAACAGTGGCTTCAGCTGTTTATTAGTGGGTCTGTTTAGACATTGTATACTGAATTAAGCAAGTGATTAGACGCAATTCCTGATTGGTTAATATTGGTGCCAGCTTCAACTTCAAGAGAGTCTGATTGGATGACGACGGAGATTGATTCCCGCTTGACGCAGTTGGGCTACCTTTCGGCGTAAGTCTTTTGAAGCCCACTGTAGACCAAAGCATGTTGGGATTGCAAGGCGAAAACGAAAAGAATAAAGCTACTTCTAATCCTAATTATCGATAGGTAGTGTATAGCAGCTCTTCCGTTTGGCAATTTCTTTACGGTAGATTTTTTAAATTTACAGCAGAATCCATACAATGCGTCGTTGTATATTGTATAAGCCATTCTTGTAGGTGGCACGAAGGGGGGGGAGGCTATGGACTTAAACAACAGTGGAAGCGCATTGTGAAGATAAAGCGGTTCTCAGTTTGGAAAGACTGCAGCCCCGCTGAAGTAATTAAGTCAGATAACTTTTTTTTATGTTTTATAGTAACAGAAAGTCTAAAACAAGTCAGATCACTTGTGTTAGACTATCTGTTATCTATGTATTTGACGTTGCGAGTGCTACAGGCGTATGGTTTCTTCAATTCTCGTTTCATCAAAGCGAGCAAAATATTTTTGTAATGATCTAGAATTTACGTGTGGATGACAAAAAAGTGACGATGCTTATAGTGGCAATTTGGTATAAGTTTGATGGCGGTGTCATCTCAAAAGCACCCACCACCTTGACAATAGCCGATCCTGGTGCGCAGGAAATACGCAAGTGAAGTCTCATGCTCTCCGGATGAGGGAGAAAACGAGCGTGGAATGCGTGCGCTACGAGACCCCAATGGATTGATTGGACAAATGCGTTTAGCTACTAAAGAGTAAATTCAACGAAGTGAAACTGAAATCGTTGAAGCAAATACATGCTACGTGTAGCAGTGCTGAACGCTGCGCATTGCTTTGGCCAACTAATAATAATGGTGTTATTTTCTTATTTGTTCAATAATAGCGTGTGAGATACTATATAATATGTATTATAATACGTATTCTCATATGTAAACGAGGGAACTGGGTCGTCGTTCAACAACAACAACATACTTACTACATTTTGATCGCCACAGCACTTGAATATATTGTTTGTAGGAAATCACAGTCTTACGGGTCATGGAAACGAGACTGCTGTTAATTCGTAGGAAGGTGATTCTAACAAGTATATCTCGACTTGGGCTACAGTATCAGCTCTAGCTAAATATTTGGTGGATGATGCTTGCATTAAATTGGGAAAAACTTTTTGCAAAACTGTTGAAATTTATTATTATGGATAATGAAATTTGCCAAGCCCTTCCCAAATGCATCGAGAGGGGATGAATCTATTCCTCGACATAGCGTTAATTAATTTCACTCTCCTAACATGCATTGAAAATACTTTTCTGCGATTGTTGGTAATTTGCCTGTAAATTATGTTCCCTAGTAAGTGATTCTTGTGGATCCACCAGATAGCAATCGGAGTGTCGGTGTAGTAATTGTTTTGCATGACATGCACATTACGATCGACAATACTTAGCTGAGTGAGTATTTGATTCACCCATTTTATATTGAAATTGAGAGTCTCGGGTAATACGATCGGATGAAACCGGTATCTGCTTTTTCGTAAAACAATAATAGATACGGCTTACCATTCTTGTTATGACAATTTTATACGCGCACTAAACTCTGCGGACTCGTAAAGGAATGCTACTCTATTAGCATCTACACTCTTTTTGGTACATGTAATCATAAACACCTAGGATCGTTGAAGTTGAGAACATTTGAAGAAAAAATATTTTTGACGTCGTACCTGGATGCAAAAGCTTTTTTTTTTTTAAGTATTCGCAGATGTCTCCTCCACATCGACGTCGCCGTTGATCCATCGTCTAAACAACTTTTTCTCGTACGCCGTGGTCATAGAGGAGACAGCATCCATGTTGAGCTCGTCTAACGCCTAACGATCATACGTGAAAGAGTGCCATCTTCACTGAGGTCTATTTTTTTTCTTACAACCGTGGAAGTATCGAAAGCACCTCAAAAATGGTGGTCATGAGTGTCTTGATATACACCCTTAAGCTCGCCTACTTCGGGCTGATGGTGATTGTGAAATCTTCCACGTTGTCTATCAGAATCTTTAAAACATCATCAACCGATATCCCACTATTCTGCCCACCGTATACTCTATGTTGTTTCTGCAGATCTATTGTCATTCTTTTAGAGTCAGGTGCCTGTCGCGCCATGTAGAG